TACTAGGGCTTATTTTCAGATTAGGTCTTATTTTCAGGGAAACAGAGTAATACCACATTGATAGGTGTGATAAGTGTTGTGGATCTGCCAAAGCACCACCTGCATCAATGAACTAATGAGACACCCCTTACCGGTGGAGTTGCCTGGCCTTAGAGGCATACTGGATTACGATAATGTCAGCTACCAACGGGCTGCCTCTTACCCTTCACAGTTAATGCTGCAGACGTGGTTTGATCTCCAGTGATGCAAGAATACTCCCCACCGTCTTCAGGCTCGAGGCTGTGGATCAGTAGCTGGCGGCTGGTGCCGTCCTGTCTCATCTCGTATTTATCCCCCGGATGAAGCACCACGCCCGCTTTCCGCCACTCCACCGGGGCCTTCGCCACCGTCACCTCGCAGCGGAACCTGGCCGTCCCGCCTTCTTCCGCTTTCTCGTTCTTCAGCTTTTGCTTGAACTCGGGTTTGAGAGCTGTGGAGGCAACAAGAGGGGATGAAGGCAAAAAGCCGGCCGCGGCCCTACAAACCGTTTTGGGAGGGTGAAAGGCTGGAGCCGTCGTACTGTGGAACAAAAAAGCCGTTTGGTACCCCGAGAGGCAGACCAACCACCGATGGAGAACAAAGGAGGAAAGCATCGCTTGTAACCGTTTCCCTACGGCAACAGTAGGAGTCCAATCGTCATCTAGCGAGGTACCACTGTACTTCCTAGGTTTTTAATAAAATAAAATAGTCCAGAATTCCACGCTCTCTCTAAACATGGCTTGACTTCTCTTTTTGCTACTTGGCGTGCACGGCTGTGGACTGCCATGACCACAAGATAGACATGTGATATGGGGCTACCTTGGTGGGGTGATCATTAGTACCCCCGGTGGTAGTTTAGTAAAGAACTTCAATTTGCTTTGCTCCCAGAATTCAGCTCGCTTTTGCACTGCCACAGGTGAAACACATCGACTGGAAGGAATCGGTCCAACTAGGTGCCTTTTCCTTCCTTTTGCACAGAATTATAGTCAGCCCAACACTACAAGATGTCCTTCAGTGAACATTCCTTTGCATTCAATATTTGGAATGTTAGGACAGAATGACCCTGATTTCTCTGGTTGTAGTCTCTTGAAAACAAAACCTAAGTGTTTTAAAAGCCAACAAAGTACAAGTTACCCCAAACTGGTCTTACCCTATTGTTACCATATTTTTCCGTGTATAAGACTATACTTTTGTCTAAAATCTTTAGACCAAAAATTGAGGGTCGTCTTATACGCGGAGGTAAGCTGAGGAGAGAACAAAAACAAGTGGACGGGAAACAGGGATCAAAGCGATCCTGGAGGGCTTTGATCCCTGCTTTCCCCTCCACTTGCTAAGCCCAACTTAGATTTCTTAATTTTGGGTTAGAAACATGGGGGGGCATCTTATATATGGAAAATACGGGTAATTTTTAATTCCACAGGCACAGGTCAACCATCTACACACAAATGTTTATCTCTTGACTACTGCAGTGTCCATGCATGTATGTGTGAATGGCCCATCCCAGATAAGACATTGTAGAGCAGTCTTCCATGTTACCCAGTGTTTCCTCCAACAGAGTACTTATTAGACATTAAACCTGCCAGTACTCAAGTCCTATCAATCACATGCAAGGAAGGAAGTGATGCATATGTATGTATGTCCACTAGCCACAGAATATGATCCAGAGATTAAATTTTCAGTTGCACCACTAGCACAAATTTCCTTATTTATACCCCTAATTTTCAAGTTTTGATCTGTTAAGTTAGCTGGTTGTATTTCACACATTTTACCATGAACTGTCAAGACCGCTGTGGTTTTCTGGTCTCCGCATACACAGGCATAACGTCCAGCATCCTGAATGTCTAAATCACGGATCACCAACTCTGCGATAGGGCCTTCCTGCCTTATTCGGTATTTGCCACTTTCTGCTAGTTTCTCTTCTTCTTTCATCCACTCCACCGGAGCAGCCTTGGTGAGCTCACAGCGCAGGGCAGCTGTTCCATCTTCAGGAGCTTCCACATCCTTCAGTTCTGTTTTGAACCGTGGTGGGAGGGCTGCAGGAACACAAAATAAAAGCATGAAGAGCCCGCATGGACAGCTGGACGGGGTGGCAGGAGGGAGCAGGAGAGAACGGAAAACAGGGTGGAGAATTTGTATCAAGTCCTGGTCCAGTGAATGAGGATTTTTGAATGGAAAAACTCCCATTGACTGGCCTGGAAATGCTGAATGATGGAACAATGAGATCTCCACGTATGCTCTCGCAACAAATGACTCCTGGATACGGACACAGACTATAGAAATGCAATCAAACATGAAAACAGACAACACAGAAAGACTAAAAGGAGGAACACAGATGTTGTAATGATGGGGTTCAACTCCAAATGGAAGCTGAATAAAACACTCATCCTACACTGTTCTTTGTACAGCGTAGTTTTATCATGGAGTCTTGGGATAACCGTTCTCGACAGATACAAGCATCTTCTCTAGCACTGTTCGGCTCTTCATCCAAGACCACCAGCAAAACCAGTAGAATTTCCTACTTATTGGAATTCTTGAGCTCTGGCTGCAGAATGGTGTGTTCTTTCCTCCACCTTGTCAAGGCGTCAGGCTTTACCAACTCAGACCGACCATTTTGCCGTGCTGTGATTTCATAACCCTGCGTCTCTTTGCTTGACAGGGACAGGCAAAGCTGGGGTTTGAAAAAGAGAAGGCAAGACTGCAGACCAATGCAAAACACAGATGGGGGTGGGTGGAATCTTGCGATGGGATGCAGACGAAAGCAGGCTAAGCGTTCAGAAACAGAGGAAATAGACTGGGAAAGCATGCCTTGATCGGCTTGTAAACCACCAAGAGAAGCCACCTGGAATCTTCTTTTTTTAAAGTTTTAAATTCATGCAGTATACCTACCAACAGGTCTTAGTCACAAGAAATGGTTGTCCTAATTTTTCTCAGGCCATCTGCATTCCATACCCAGTGAGCATGCCAAGTCAACAATGGGCTATCCTGGGGGTTCTTCCACCCTTTATATATTTTCCCTGCGAAACTCTCTTACAGTTCTCCAACTATATGGACGTCAGCCATCCTACTCTTATTTGGGAACAGGGTCCATCCAGCTCCATAAAGAACAGCACTCGTGGCCTGGAAACAGGAGGGCCAGTGTTCGTATGAATGTCCTGTTTTTAAAAGGCAGCGAACCTGCAAAAATTGAGTCCTGGAGACAAAGGACAGAAGGGTGGCCCTCACCATCACATCCTCTTTGTGAAGTCAAAGCTGGGCAAGAGGACCTTGGCTTGATCTTGCATGGCAATTCAGAGTATCTTCTGGCCTTCAGCTGGTAGATGATTATACGAGCAGCTTCTTCTCCATCTTTATAATGCCATTCAAAATTGGAGCCCTATCCAAGTTCGCATTGTAGTGTTACCGAGCCCTCTTCGGTAACTTCCACATTCTTTAGCTCTTCCTTGAAAAAGGGAGGGAGAGCTGAGGGATAGAAAACAAACAAAAGGTACGAAAAATGCTGAAAAGTTGCCTTTTCAGCATTTTTCTCTGAAAGTACAAGAGTGAGGGAACTTGACAGCTAAGGAACAAGGATGGTTGGACTCCAAAAAGAAAGTCTCTCTTCCATCTTCAGAGGCCAGTTGAAGACTCAAGGCTGGTAGGAGGGCTTTGAAGCTGTGGGAAGCAACAGGATTGGGGGCTTATGCCAAGTAGACTAGATCAGTGCAGGTCTCGTGGGATAAGAACCAGATGCCGGATCAAGACAAGGACTTGTGTCAATCCAGAAAGAAAAGAGATGGGACGGATTGCCAAGTGGTACGGTTTTCCTGCAGATCTTCATGTCCACGCAATTAGACACAATTAGGATCTTAAGACATGGTCATATCACTAGCACATCAGGCCATTGGTCTATCTATCCCAGCCTTGATAGCTCTGCTGGCAGCTATGCCTCTTCTGGGTGTCCAGAAGGATTCTTTCCTAGCCATACCTGGGGACCACTGGTGGACCACCCTGGACACACTTGATCTCATCCAGTTTCAGAAGCTCAGCAGGGATGAGCCTGCTTAATACTCGGATTGCTGCCAGTCAGAGTTGGCAATATGGGGTTGGATGGACCAGTGACCGGATTCAGCATAAGTCGGGTTCCTTGGTTCCTATGGCCAGACCAAGGCTTCTATGTTGTAACAAACAATGGCATGTAGATTTCACTTTGTGGCAGAGGCCTAAACAAGTACTGGAGCAACACTGCAGCTGGATTTATAGCCCATTTGTCAAAAGCTAAGCTACCACAATCAAGGAAGAGGAGAAAGCTGTCTATTGAGAAGGATGAATTTCCCAAGAGATCAGGAGGAAGGCATTAATTCACAACACATAGTTACTGTGGACGATCAAAGATAATGTGGTTTGTTGGTCCCCCCCCCCCACACACACACAGGTATAGCTGAAGGCTGAGTTCATGGATCGCCAGCACAGCTCGGATGCCGTCTTGCTTCATGACATATTTTTCACTTCTCTGGAGCACCTGCTGCTCCTTGTTCCATTGCATGGAGGCAACTTTGGTGAGCTCACAGCTCAGTGTGGCTTCACCCCCTTCGGTCGCTTCCACATTCTCCAAGCTGGATTTGAAACAGGCAGGTATGGCTGAGGATCAAAGGAGAAAACACCACATTTTTAAAAAATGATGAGTGACGGTTTAGACAGGGAACACACTGGCAAGCCTGAAATGTTGAGCTGGGTGGAAACGCTTGCACCATAAAAGAAAGACGAAATATGCAATGAGGGTTCAAAGGCAGTCTCCTGTTAACACACCTCAGCATGCACAGCTTCCTGGACTCCTAACTGGGATCAGGATCGCTGTCAAAGAGAGTGAGGAATTCCACAAGACGAGGAATGGTATCTGGTGAAAGGACGGTGTATTCGAATAACGTGATTTATATCAACATCATCACTTGTTCTAGAGATACGTCAAAAGCCACGCCCAACGGATAGGAGTTTCACAGAAAAAAAAGACAACACGACAAACGCCAGCACGCAGGAGTTACATTCAGCGACACATCATGGTACATGGAACATGGTATATGGAGTCATGCTCTTTGTTGACAGTCAAGACGGTCATCATATGCTGGTCACCAGAAATGCAGATATATTGGGCAGCATCTGTCAATTCCACATCTTGAATCATCGGCTGAACCAGAGAGCCTTCCGGTCTCATTCTGTTATGTGTCGCTCTCCTTGAGCAGATGCTGCCCCTTCTTCCATGCCACTGCAGCAGCCTAAGCCAGCGGGCAGTTCAAAATGGCCGCTCCACCTTCGGCGGCATCCTCGCTCTTCAGCTGCTCTTTGAAGAGGATGCAACCGCTGGAGAACTGAAGGACGCAACTGTCGGAGACGGTTAGACACCACAACGCCAGGGAAAGGTTGTGTCTTCTTACTGAGGAAGATATCACCAAGGTATCTTAATAAGCTTCCTCAAAGGTCCATTGTTTTTCCTCAGGCACAATCTGGAAACCACTGTTCTACAACGAAGGGAGAGATGGCAGAGGGCCTTCCTGGGCATCTCCAGGGAATCGGAGAGATCACAAAAGACAGCGCAACACAAAGGAAGACCCAACATCAGCAGATGGGACAAAGAACAGACAAACTAGGGTTTTCCCACCCCCACATAATTCACACAGAACAGAACACGAAGGTTTTCCAGACACCTAAGGCAGGACACGCTGATTTACCGTGCACCCTCAAAGCTGCTGTTGTTTTCTCTTCTCCGCACACACAGGAGTAGTCTCCAGCGTCTTTAAGTTCAAGATTGTGGATCTCAAGCCACGCGGCGGCCCCTTCCTGCCTTATCTCGTACTTGTCACTCGGCTTCAGGGACTTATGCTTTCTCCTCCACTCCACGGGAGCGGCTTTGGTCAGCTCACACTGGAAAACGACGGTCCCCTCTTCCGGCGCCTCTTGGTTCTCCAGACCCTTTTTAAAGCGGGCCGGGAGTGCTGGGAAATTCAGAACAATGAAATCAGGTGAATCGTCATGTCAGTGTGAAGGGAGGGGCACAGAGGTCGTCAAAACCTTGGTCCCAAAGAGGCTTCCATTTGTGTTGGCGCAGAATTCACATTGCGCACACCTAACGGTAGAATTCGCTACCCAAAACAGCGAGGGCTGCCCATAAAGCCAGCTGTCAAAGGGGATGAGGGCAAACTCATGGAAAGAGAAGGGATGGATATGATGGATATGTTTCCCCTCTAGGGGCTGCCCATAAAGCCAGCTGTCAAAGGGCAAACTCATGGAAAGAGAAGTCCACCAAGAATGATGGATATGTTTCTCCTCTAATATTCAAGGCAACACACCTCTATATAGCCATTACTCGGACTGCAACCAAGCCCTCAGATTGTGGATTTTCCACAAGCAACTAAAAGATGGGCTGCTATAGGGGTAGAACATCAGATTATCCTTGGGGATCTGATCCCTTAGGGTTCTCCCAATATTCTTACCCTCTTTTTGCTTTAACCGGGAATAGTGCAATTTTTTTATCATTTTATGGAGATGCCTGTTCACACATCTCTGTCTAGGGCGATTCACAGCAAAGGTTCAGCCTGCTGCCCTAAACGGTGTATCTTGTTTTCAATGCAGCAAATATTATTCTAGTTTGACTTTGGTTCTATCTGAGAACTGAAATTAGACCCGCAGATGTACCATTCACTGCTAAAGAGGCCAAGGTCTTCTGATCCCCAAAGGCACAACTGTAATCGCCAGTGTCTGCCGGTTCCAGGTGGTGAATGACCAGCTCAGCAATAACACCATCCAGCTTCATTTCGTGTTTCTCACTCGGCGTCAGCACCTGACCTGCCTTCCTCCATTCTACCGGAGCTGCCATTTTGGTCAGCTCGCACCGCAGGGTCGCTGTCCCGCTTTCTTCCACCACTAGGTTCTTCAGCTCTGTCTTGAAGCGCGGAGGGAGGGCTGAAGATCACAAAGAGCACATTAAAAGTTACGAGCGCCTCCTCGCAGGTAGACAACAACGGGAAATTCCGTTTACCCACCAGTCTATTTACAGTTTCGCTTCTCTGACTTGAAAAAGAGATGTCAGTGTAAGGAGAGGGGGGGAAAACCATTTTATACTTCTTAACTGAAAGTTATTAAAGGCATCTGGGCACTTACATCTCAGAGGACCTCTCATGACCTCTCATAAATGACCTCTCATAAATGCCAACATGCTAGTGAAGAAGGCACAGAAGACGCTGTATTTCCTGAGAATGCTCAGGAAGTTAAATCTATCTCAGCATTTAGTTCTGTCCTACTATCGTAGCACCATTGAGAATGTCCTAACCTATGGCATTCTGGCATGGTTTGGGAGCAGCTCTGTAGCGGATAAAAAAGCTCTACAGAGAACCATTAAAATTGCCCAGAATATCATCGGGCTCCAGCTATCAACCCTGGATGACATCTTCGCATCACGCAGTCTGAGGAAGTCACACAACATCCTTAGAGACTTTTCCCATCCTGCTCACAACTTCTTTGAACCGGTGCCATCTGGTAGAAGATACAGAACAATTAAGACTCGAACCACACATTTTCTGAATCGTTTTTATCCCAGAACTACAACTGCACTTAATAATGAGCTTAAAGACCACCAGTAGTGAACAGTTGGACAATGCTACTTAGCCTGAGGTGTAGATGTTTGTATTCTTAGTGGGGGATTTTTAGTGGGTGGGGAGCGTTTGGGGATTTTTATGTGTGTGCATGTGGGTCTGGTCTCTGGGTGTCTGTGTGAATTTTGTTGTATGGGTATACTATGTAATATTTTTACAAAGGCAATAAATTTATTTGATTTGATTATTTGATTTGATTTGACATCATATTCTCTGAAGGAAAGCTAAGCCTACCACTGGCCCCCAGCTTTGAGTAGTTCTCTGCTCCTCTTCACAGAATCATAGAATAACGAAGTTGGAGGGGGCCTCTAAGGCCATCAAGTCCAACCCTTTGCTCATAGAAGGAATCCAAGTCAAATGATATCTGCCATAGGACTGTCCAATTTTCTCTTGAATGCCTCCAGCGTGAGGTCAAGGGTTCCACTGTCATACTACTCTAACAGTTGAGAAGTTTTCCCTGATATTCAGCCTCAGTCTGTCTTTCTGTAGCTTGAGCCCATTGTTACATGTCATGCATTCTGGGATGATCGAGAACAGATCCTGCCCCTCCTTTGGATAACCACCTGTCAAATATTTGAAAAGTGCTCTACTATCTCCCCCCCCCCCCCCCAGTCTTCTTTTCTCAAGGCTAAATAATGCCCTGTTCTTTCAGCCTTTCCTTCCAGGGCTTGGTTTCCAGCCCCCTGATCCTCCTTGTTGTTTCCTCTGAACTCACTGATCCTCCTTGCTGGCCTCCTCTGAACTCCTCTGGACTTATCATAATAACAATATAATAATATTAGATTTACAGAGCTGAGAGAGTCCTATGGATCATCGAGTAAGTATAGTTGAAAATGCCCACCAAGCTCACCCTGGCAATAAAAGTTTAAGTCTTTGTGGCTTGGGTTTAATCCCCATAAGAAGGTTTAATGGCTACTAAGTCCTGCATTTTCACTGTTTCCACAACTTGAGCAAGTTCCCCAAGAACAACAGGTGAGCTGTCCAGAAAAAGTCTAGAGAAAAGAAGATGCAGACAGAAACAGAAGGGAGGAAAGAACAATTCAGAGAGAAAGGAAACATATGTTCTAATTACACCGGTGCATCTTTGGAGCCAAACTACGCTAGGTTAAAGAAATCAATATACAAAGCACTAAAGCCCAGCTGCCTTGCTTTTCCAACGATCCTTTGCAAAATGCAATGGAAATAGTTTAGATGAGATTCATTTCTGCTTCAGGCTTTCAAATAATAGAAGTGACGGTTCTCCCTCTCTCTCTTTCTCTTACCAACCAATCAAACACTCAAGTCCTTCTCTCCAGATCCTCCTGCCTGTGGACTTCCTCTCTCTTCCTCTCTCCGATCTCCTACTATTCAGGGGAGCAATGGGTGATTCAGAGAGTCCACCCTTAGAAGAGGGAAAGCCTTAACTGCTCAGTGTCACAGCGGGAATGTCCCACCCTTTCTGTAATTTGCAGCTTCCTTTTCTGTCTGGCCGTCAGCACAGGCTTCCTTTCAAATCTGATTTCTCAGGCCCAAAGGATCTGCCTGAATCATGTCTCTCCAACACCACATGCTTTCAGCTCTCATGATGAATCACATCTGTTCCTGCCTTCAAACTAAAGCTACTCACAATCACGACATCACCTTGAAGCTAGAGATCTAGGGAAAAAACCCATGGGAAAATTATGGTTATGAACAGAAACCCCTTCCTGTAGCCATAGGAACACCTACAGTGGTCGAATAATCGAAATATAAGAAAAGATCATTGCAAGAGGTGTCATATTTACCATGCACAGTTATAGAGGCAGATGTTTTCTGATCTCCACACACACAGGAATAGTCTCCAGCATCTTGCTCGTCGACGTCATGGATTGTCAACTCGGCCACACGCTCCTTCTGCCTGATTTTATATTTGTCGTTTGATTTGAGCAGCCCGTCACCCTTCCTCCACTCCACCGGGACAGGCTTACTCAGTTCGCAGCGAAGGACAGCCACCTCCCCTTCTGTCACTTCTTTGCTTTTCAGCTCTTCTTGGAAACGTGCGGGCACGGCTGGGGGGGTGGAAGATGAACAGAGAGGATGTCATTTGGTAGCACAGCCCCTACACACTGACCACCGACCACAGTTCCTGTGGAAGCCCCATTTAAACCAGTGGGGGCTTTGGGGAGAATCGGGCTCGGCCGATAAGACCCTCTGGCTTCCCTTTTCCAATCACGGAACAAGACACACGTTATTCTGAACTCTTTAGCAAAAGCGAAGCTATTTCACAACGTGCTGGGAATCAAAATGTCAAAGGTTCCGAAAGTTTCGTACGTTTGCATTTTAAATTTCGAGGTCCCCTTCACATTTTGAAAGCCAAAAACAATTGTGGGACTGTACAGGGTTCTCAGTGACAAATTAGACAAACAAAACGAGATCAATGGAAATGGAAAGGCCAGATCCAAATGTTTTCTGAAATGGCACACCAGATTCACTTTTGTTCGCTGTGTCTTCACAAACAGAGGACAGGCACATAACAGACATTTCTCAACATAAACCATGTAGTGGGGACTCACATTTAACGTCCTTACACATGAGATACAGATATAAGCGACAGAAGGCAAACAAGCGGAAAGAAAGCGTAAACCTCACACAAACAAGCCAAAGGTATAAAAACAGCAGTAAAGACTGCAGAAAGAAAAGGATAGGAAAGGAAAGAAATTGTTCTCTACAGTACAGGTAAGCTGGCTGGATAGCTGAGGGGTTTAGGCATCTGATTGTGGAGCCACAGGTGGGGAGTTCAATTCTCCCCGATGCCTCCTGGAAGAAAAGCCAGCCTGTATAGCCTTGGGCAAACTGTGACAGTCTGAAAATACTTCTTCCAGAAGAAGGGGATAGTAAACCGCTTCTGATTATTCTGTGCCTAGAAAACTCTGGAAAGAGTTGCCATGAGTCAGAATTGACTTGACAGTGCACGATTATTTTTATTATTATAGTAGACTCAATGGCAATAGCTCCATAATGCACATATAGATAATTAAGAATGCAATAAAGAGTTAGCTGAGGAATAATAACGGAAGGTAAAAATACCACTCTTAGCAAGTCTTTGGCACTAGTACTAGGTAGACGTGGAAGTAAGATCTGTTGTAGAAAAGGGGATCAGCTTCTGAGTAACAAGAGTAAGCACAAGGCAGCGCCATTATTGCAAAATTCAACCATGCCCTAAACAGGCCAGCTCTGCCCACTGTCTTGTCTTTTACCCAGCAGGCAACGAACTATTTTCCCTTCCTGGTATATTTTACATAGAGTGATCCTTGGATGAGAACAGAAGACTCCCTGGAAAAGACCCTGATGTTGGGAAAGTGTGAAGGCAGGAGGAGAGAAGGGGACGACAGAGAACGAGACGGTTGGACAGAGTCATCGAAGTGACCAACATGAATTTGACCCAACTCCGGGAGGCAGAGGAAGACAAGAGGGCCTGGTGTGCTCTGGTCCATGGGTCACGAAGAGTTGGACATGACTAAATGACTCAACAACAACAACCTAGGTCCAATGCCAACATGAATTTGACCAAACTCCGGGAGGCAGTGGAGGACAGGAGGGCCTGGCGTGCTCTGCTCCATGGGGTCACGAAGAGTTGGACACGACTAAATGACTAAACAACAAAAACCATGAAGGGCTTTAGACAGCCATCTCAGACTCAACGACTCAACAACAACAACCTAGGTCCAAGATGGAATGAGACCAGGGAGGAAGCTTCAGTATATGCCACTCAAGGAATTTCCACCCACCACAAACTCAGTGGCATGTGGTTTGTATGGTGGGGGAGCTTGTCTCGTCAAGACTGCCTTGTACAGAACTAGGATTTCAACAGGTTTTCGGATGTTCCTGCGTAAAAGCTTTCAAATACATTTCTATTCAAAGGAATGTCCTGCTCTTGTGTAATTTTGATCTAGAAGTTAGGTAAAGGTAAAGGTTCCCCTTGACGTTTAGTCCAATATTGTCCTACTCTAGGACGTCCGTCACGTCATGTGGATTCGATCTTATGACGGCTGGTCTTCTGATCTTGCAGCCCAGAGGCTTCTGCGGTTTAACCAGCAACGCCACCATGTCCCTTGATCTAGAAGTTACTGAAAAGGAAAAGCTGATCGTTCTGCAGGAACATCATATACATACTCTTGACTCCCTGCACAAGGAGAGAGACGGCGTACAAACGCAAGAAATAAATCAAAATAAACTTTGGTAAAGGAACAAATCTGCAGCACAGAGGCTTCTGCAGTATAAACCCGCAGCACCATCCCCATCCCTTGATCTAGACGTTATTGAAAAGGAAAAGCTGATCATTCTGAAGGAAAATCGTGTACATACCCTTGACTCCCTGCACAAGGAGAGAGATGGCGTACAAACGCAAGAAATAAATCAAAACAAACTTTGGTAAAGGAACAAACGAGAAGAAAGAGCGGATGGTAGGTGAAAGGAATGATCCAAGAGAGTTGAATTGTCTTGCTAAAGGCTCTGTGATATTTTGAATTATCCTGCTATCAGGAATATAAAGACAGAAGGAGGAAAAAGGTATTCCACAGAGGTACGCAGAGTTCTGCAATCCAAGATGCATGACATAAAATATCATTATGGGAAGCTGGCATGGTTTCATCAAGAGAAGTGTTCAGTCGGAGTCTTCAGGAAGTACCAGATTAAATCGTGTCAGACAGCTTCAGGTTTCTAAGAACCTGTCTTACTGGCATGAAGGAGCAATGCATGTCTAGTGTCAGTATCTTCGTACTCTTAGAAAGGAACAAATGAGAAGAAAGAGCGGATGGTAGGTGAAAGGAATGATCCAAGAGAGTTGAATTGTCTTGCTAAAGGCTCTGTGATGTTTTCAATTCTCCTGCTATCAGGAATATAAAGACAGAAGGAGGAAAAAGGTATTCCACAGAGGTACGCAGAGTTCTGCAATCCAAGATGCATGACATAAAATATCATTATGGGAAGCTGGCATGGTTTCATCAAGAGAAGTGTTCAGTCAGAGTCTTCAGGAAGTACCAGATTAAAACTTTTCAGACAGCTTCAGGTTTCTAAGAACCTGCTTTACTGGCATGAAGGAGCAATGCGTGTCTAATGTCAGTATCTTCGTACCCTTAACTCAGTGAACAAAAAACAAGGAAGGAACAAGGAAGCAGTAAAAACTGCCAGCGGTAAGACGCTCATAAGATGAGAAAAATCAGGCTTAGTCGTCTACTATCAAGGTCACTGCAGTCTTGACCATTACAGAGTTATTACTCTGGCGCTACCAGCATATATAGGTGACCAGGATTTAGGTTTGGGGGTGGGTGGGGATTCAAAACGACCATAACATCAAGCACCAGTCTGACATAATGGAAAAAGTGTTGGAATGGGATTTTAAATCCCCACTCAGCCATGAGCATTCATTCAAGGTGGCATCGATGAACCGATTCTTTAATATCTCACCTACAGCAGCTCTGAAACACTCTTTGGGGCACTGTAAGTTGGAAGCAACTTGATGGCACATAAAACCAACAACAACTCAGACGAATTTGTAACACTGACACCAAAGACGGACACAGCACGATGTATTTATTTTACCACACAACCAACCACAAAACAGACAGATCAAAAGGAACACAAACGAACGCAACGCAAAAGCACGAATTTTTGTCGAGGAGACGGATCCAGAAAGACGGCCAAGGGAACACGGAACTTTTTATTACCATGAACGGTCAACGCCGCTGTCGTTTTTTGGTCTCCACAGAGGCAGGCATAATCTCCCGTGTCTTCCACCTGCAGGTCACGGATCAACAGTTCGGCGACGGCACCCTCTTGCTTCATCCGGTATTTGTCGCTCGGCTTAAGGATTTGGGAACCTTTCCTCCATTTCACCTCAGCCCCTGCTTTGGTCATTTCGCAACGCAGAGTCACCGTGGCGCCTTCTACGGCCTCCCTGTTCTTCAGGCCTTCCTTGAAAAGCACAGGCAGGGCTGAGAAGGTGGCAATAAGGGGAGAGGGCAAAAAATAAGTGACTGGACAGAGAGGAGAGGATGGAGGTCATTGAAGATTCATGCAAGGTATTTTAGCTCCCTCATGCATGGTGTTCCATCGCTGAAGGCGACGAAAACACAACACCCTCTGAAGAAAATCACCGGCCATCTGCACTGGCCTTGAAAATATTTTTCCTTAGAATACATCTCACCTAGGAAAGGACTAGGGGCGTGTGGAACTGTATTGCAGGAAGGCTTACATGAAAAAGGACATGCCGGGGTGGTATCTGAGAGACACCTGAATTCCACACGATCTATGAAGACCTTAATCCACTACTATAGCTTCATGGCCACTGGGGACTTCTTGAGCTTATATTTCATGCCTATCCATGCACCACCAGAGGGGCCTTGCTTCAAAGAACATTATGCCAAGCAAAGCGAAACAAGAGAGAAGTCCGCATTATTTCTGAAGTAAGTTGGTTTCATAGAAGGAGAAAGTCTATGTGACTATTACCCAAAACCTAATTTTAAAAAAGTGGGTAACAGGCTTTTTAAAGAAAGGAAAGAAAGACCCCTAACATCCCAGTAACAGATAACGTTTTCAAGTCCTTGAAGGACTCTTCAACAAGACAGGCTGGGCGTAGCAGTTGTTGTTGTTTCTGGTGGTGGAAATTAGCCTTTACTATTTCTTCTCTGTCTTAATGGGATGTTTTATAGATTGCCAGCACCGCTAGGATCCCGGGCCTTTAGCCCTCCCAGTGAAAATGAAATCATCAAAGGGCAGGGGTTTCCCCAACCTGTGGGGCCTCATCCTGAGAGCTTTAATTTCATGCTGCGGGGATCAAGAGCACAAGTAATCCTGCTAGGTTAGGAAAAAGCATGGTAGGACCTAACCAGAACAATGGAGAAAGCAGGAAAACTAGGCAAGGTGCTTCCTCCTGTCCTGTCTTTTTTACCCTTGACTTCCAAAGACGCCATGGTCTGCTGCTCTCCACACACACAGCTGTAGCTTCCAGAATCCGTCGGTTCCAGGCTTTGGATTACCAACTCCGCAACGGCACCTTCCCGCCTCATTTGGTACTTCTTGTTTGGCTTCAGAGTCTTGTGCCCTTTCCTCCATTCCACGGTGACGGAGGGTTTGTTCAACTCACATCGCAGGGTGGCCTCCTTCCCTTCCATAGCTTCTTCATCCTTCAGAGCTTTGGTAAAAAGGACCGGCAGGACTGCGGAGTGAAGGTAATAGAGGACAGGCGCCCATCAAGGCTGAGAAGCTCAAGTCAACACTCTTAGCAAGCCACTGAAAGCCTACTGGCCAGTGTAGACTCCAAGTTCTATTTGGGATTGATTAGCTGTTGCAAAAACTTTTTATCCAAAAATAAAAATTGCAACATGGTATGACAAACTCTTGTTTTGAGACCTTCTTGACCTATTTTAGCTCCCTAACTTTGGTCATATTGTGAAATGTTAAAAGAACCATGTTTCACTTGTCACTAACGTGCACGTTTAGCGAAGTTCTCCAATAACAGCAGCAAGAACCTCGGATTTATGCCCTCCTCTTGTACTACGTAACCCAAGTGACTTTCAACCAAGCCTCGGTTGCTTCTTTCCTTGATATGACCCTCAAGAAACAACCTGGGAAAGGTCAAGTAGAACTTTCCATGGGGAGCTTTCCCCATAGAACTTTCTATGGGGAATTCCAGAAGGGTCTCCTCTCTTGCGAAGAGAGCATCTTTGAATCTCACCCAACCAGTCCTGAGTTAAAATTTTAGAAACCGCTTCTCAGGAAGTCAGCATAAATACTGAGGTCTTGTAAAACCTCCCAGCATTTACAAGCCTGCAAACTTGACCCGAGGCCTCTACATGCTCATCGGAAAGAGTCTATTCTGTTGTTAATGTTGCAAAAAGAAAGTCCCATCAGTGTGGCGAGCCTTTGGCAGGCCGGATGTTTTAGACTACAACTCCCATAGCCCCTTTATGACTGGAAAGACTGGTTGGGAATTCTGGGAGTTGAAGTCCACAATATCAAAAGCACCACGGGTTCGCCACCTGTTGGAGAAAAGAACATCAGACATGCAGTGCCGGATAGGCAGGGATCCGAAAATGTGTTGTTGAATTTTATTAGAGAAGAAAAATGGAAAGAAAAGGACCTCACAAGGCATAAATTGGTTTAAGGGATGTGTTTTACCAGTTACGGCCAAGCAAGCTGTTGTCTTCTGGCTTCCACAAATGCACGTATAGTCTCCAGAATCTGTTTCGTCCACATCACGGATCACCAGCTCCACATAAGGACCCTCCTGTTTTATTTGGTATTTGCCACCTGATTTGAGGGTCCTGGGGCCCTTCTGCCATGCCACGGGGGCCGCCTTGCTCAGCCTGCCGTGCAGGGTGGCCGTCTCACCCTCTGTAACCTCCATGCTTTTGAGTTCTTCTTGGAAAAACACAGGCAATGCTAGAGAATGCAACACGGACAGAGAGAAAGGGTCAGTGGGTCATCGCAGGACCTCATGGTTGGGCGGATAACCATGAGGGAAAGTCATTGGCAACAACAAAACTCAACAAGGAAAAAGAAACCCGTCTGAGGAACCTCAGGTAGTAGTCAACAGACGAAAGAGCACCCAGTGGAGAAATGGGGACACTTTGCAGGGAGATGTAGGTCTGGATTGTTTTATGTACAAGACAAGAACAAGTTGTGGGGGAGACAAGGAAACCCAAATGGCCCCATGGCTCCTGGCCCACAAGAAGATGAGGCCATTGCCCTTGTAGTTTGGTTAAGCTTGCCCGTTAACCAGCTTTGACTGCCAACACAAACTTTATTACCATTCACTTTCAAAGCTGCGGTGGTTTTCTGGTCTGCACACACACAGGTGTAACTTCCGGCATCTGTCAGTTCCAGATCTTGGATGGTGAGCTCAGCGAAGCGGCCTTCCAGCCGCATCCTGTACTTCTCGCTTGGTTTCAATGACGTTTGATCCTTCATCCACTCCACAGAGTCTACGGCCTTGGAGAGCTCACAATGGAAAGTGGCCGTTCCACTCTCGGTTGCTTCCTCGTTCTTTAGTTCCATCTTGAAGTGCACTGGCAAGGCTAGAGGAGGCAGAAGGAACACATGACTCCGTCAAGAGCCACAATCTACGGGACCGACAACCACAACCAAACCGGGGATCCAGATACGCTGCTAAACTGAGGGTTGTGCTGAAAGTCTTCCTCTTGACAAGCTGTCAATAAACCCTTTCTGGTTTTGGAAGATGGCCTTCAAAATGGAAGCATAGCTCTTACAGTTGCCTTAACGTTCGTCCCAACAAGAGAAATTAATCTTCTAATGACTATTCCACCTTTCATGGTGGAGACAAGTGCCAGAGAACAGCAGCTTGTAGTAGCCATTAACCAGGATACAATACGACGTACCATTTGCAAAGACATATGGCTCACACAAACACACAAGCTTGAGTTGACGTCATAAAGGACTTCTTTATCAAATCTAGGGGGTACCCACTTTTAAAATGTTGAGCCATGGACATTTGGAGAAGCAACAGTCAACCTTTTCCTAGTAAAGTCAATCCATTAGGTGATCTGTCCTGCTTGGGCCAAACTTTTCATCAGCAAATCACATAAACGTGTAAGGCCAGAGGACAGTAATAATTGGAGTTTCATGCCAGCGTGATAGAGAAGGCCAACAATACAGGAGGCACTATGATGGAGGAAATGATCCATTTTCTAACAGACTGTCACCTTTCTGCGGATTTGAGGGATCAATATCTTAAACCTTGAACAACTAGCGTCAAGAACAACTCCCTTTTAGGTACAGACTTATTCCTGCTAGGTACTATATATCCAACAGGACTGCTAAATTTGGTCAACGAGTCATGAAAAGGTGGAACCCGTTGCCCGCCCCAGAATGCTTTGGGGTGTTGTTTCGCTATTTTATGTTTTTCTGGTTGTTTATATGTATTTCTATTAGATGCCAAACACTATATTTTAAGAGTGGTTTAATTTAAGAGTGGCTTAATGTCTAGCCAGCCTGAGTGGCTAAGAAAGCAATAAAGTATTTGTATAAATAAAAGAAAAGGGGGCAAACCATTGAGCTTCCTAAGAAAATGAATAAAAAGTTGAAGGAAACATTCACCACTACCCACAAGAATATTGTGTTTTTACCCTTCACTGTCATGACAGCGGTCGTCTTTTGATCTCCAGAAGTACAGGCGTACTGTCCGGCATCCTTTGGGTCTAGACCGTGTATCGTCAATTCAGCGACTGTTCCTTCTTTCTTCATCCTGTACTTGTTGCTGGGCTTCAGACCTTTCTGCTCCTTCATCCACTCCACGGGGCCAGCCTTGTTCAGCTCACAGCGCAGAGACACTACTCCACCTTCGGTGGCTTCCACGTTCTTCAGAACCTCTTTGAAACGGACCGGCTCGGCTAAAGGATGAAGGATGTGTCTTTTTTTAATAAGAGGATTCCCTTACCCGCAGGAGCATCTCAGATTGCATGACACAGGAGATCCCCACCACCCAAGATGGGTCTGGTCACTGGATGGGTTCAGAGCTCTGAACTTCATCCAACCTTCCTTCCTAGCTCTGCAGCCCGGGGCCATTGATCTGTCTACTTACTCTCCCCGCTGACTATCTTTTCTCCTTCCTGGAGGACTCCACCTTTCAGTTCTCCTTCCCTTAGCTCTTCTTAAGACTCTTCAGCTTTACCTGTCTCTAGCTTCAGCCAATGGTACCTAGACACCCAGGCAATGACAGAGGTATAGCTGGTGAAGCGTCATCACCTTCATGATGATCTACTTGCATGTCACCTTAGATCTACATTTCTTTAAAAGCTACAGACTGAAAGACTGTGAAAAGTCCTGCTTATCACTGTCGGAGCGATCTTGGTGCATCTAAACCAACACAGACTCTTGAGGATCTGTAGACAGTGCCAAGTTTTATTTTGTGTCAGCTTTTGTGCAGCCCACTTCTGAAGAATGCATCTGAAGAAGGGGGCCTGCGGTCTACGGAAGCTACAGCTGTTGGATGCCGCTCTGTTGTTTGGGCATCTGGTTGCAGAGCCACAGGTTTGGAGTATGATTCCCCCACTGTGCCTCCTTGACGGGGGGTGGACACCCACTATGCCTCCTTGACAGGAGCTGGACAGGAAGATCTATAGGATCCCTTCCAGCTCTACACTTCTAAGATGATGATTACTATTCAAAAATACCAGGCACAGCCAATCAAAATAATAAAAACATTGACTGGTATCATATAACAGATGCAAGTTTTAACCAAAAACCTAAGTCTCTGTTAAATATTGGTGCAGTATGTATACTGTTCCTAATATTGCCATTTTGTGTAGCTTTAATGGTGTTATTTCTGAAATCTGCAACAGCTTATAACACTGTGTGAATTTTCTTTATATTGTTCAAAAAGCCCCGATGACTACAGGGACCACTGAAGTGTGTTTCTTCCAGAGGCGAGATGTTTCGATGGCCAGTTTTCTTCATTTTCTTAGTTTTTCCATTCTAATTCTTATTCTTTCCATGAATCTTTAGGATTCTACGCAGTATTTGCACCTTACTGTCATCTGTATGGAACAAGAGGACACAGGAACCTAAGCCACTCTTGTAAAGGGGGAAACCCTCAACCTTCTAAAATGATCAAGGAAGTATGATTTTTATATCACACCTTTGATACTAAACCTTGGCAAGCTAGAACTTGGAGGAAACTTGATCAAGAGAAAGGGAAGCCAGGGGAGGTGGCAGGCCGAGAAAGGGGAACATCACCCTCCATCCTACCGTGGATCTTCACTTGCGCGGCGCTCTGCTGATTGCCCACTTCGCAGGAGTATTTTCCACCATCCTCAGGCTCTGCGCTATGAATGATCAGTTCAGCCACACATCCTTCCTGCTTCACCTCATACTTCTCACCAGCCCGAAGAACCGTCTTCCCTTTCTTCCAGGTCACGGGAATATCGGGTGCGGCAAGGGCGCAGCTTAAAACTAAGGTCTCCCCTTCTTTTATTTCCGTATCCTTAAGCGCTTCTTTAAAAAGGGCTGGCGCAGCTAAAATGTACCATTGGGGGGATTGGAGAGAAACATGGAGAAGGAAATGTTAGGGGTAGGAGAGGGAGACATTTCATACGGCCACACAGGGGGAATTGCAGCTTGTACGCCGGGAAATGCTGATATTTCATAAACGCAAGCGAGTTTCTCTTTCACCAAGGCAATCCCTAAGGCTGCGCTCTCCTTGCACTTAGAAAACTAGTTGGTCAGGAACAAGGGCCATCTGGCACCCTTCTGCCAGAGATCTAGCATTCTTGCTGCGCTCTCCTTGCACTTAGAAAACTAGGAAGAAGGGCCATCTAGCACCCTTCTGCCAGAGATCTAGCATTCTCAGTGAAAAGATGTTTTCATAGGCAGGAACGTTCAGCTTTGTGAGTTCCCACACATGGCTGAAGGGGTACAACCTAGAAAGAGCAGGCCCAAGCTTACAGCTTGCTTGATCTTTCAACGAGACCTAAATATGGCAGCCACATTAGATTACAGTGGCCGTCTATTGCTTCATATGTGGTTCCTGCCAACCAGACATTTCTCTGCAAAGGCCCTCCAATACATGCGGATGTTTGTACAGGGAACTCTTTCCGCATGCTATGGCGATGAGCAAAGAAGGCGCGCACTGTTTCTATGATGGTCAATGGCTAAACTATGGGAGACATAACGGAGCATCAGAGAAGTAGCGATTCTTCCTACCAGTCACGTCCACACGAGCAGAGGTCTTCAGCTCGTTGATGCTGCAGGTATATTCCCCAGCATCTGTAGGCTTGGCATCACGGATGATCAGTTCTGCCACGGTGCCGCGCTGCTTGAACTCATACTTCTCACCGGCTTGTAGGACCGTATTTCCCTTCAGCCACTGCACCGGGAGGTCCGGCTTGTTAAACTCGCAGGTAAGCCGGACTTTGCTTCCTTCTTGAGCTTCCCTATTTTGCAGTTCTTGTTGGATAAGAACCGGCAGGGCTAAAATGCAGAATTAAAAGAAGGTGGACATGAAGTGGGCAGGATGAGGAAGAAAAAAAATGGCTTTTTCACTTCCCCACAAGATTTTGCAAGGAGGAATTGGAAGCAGGGAAAATCCAGAGACCCAAGATCAAAAGGTCAATGAGCAGCTATTCTGCATGGCAAAAATCCCTAAGGGATATTAAATTCATAACAACCAGCCTGCTGACATGATGCATTTTGAAGGAAAGAATAGAATTTTAACTTCATGTAAACAGGGACAGTTCAACTGGCCAAACTTTGTAAACACAAAATTAACACACAGACATAACATATATTGTGAATCCTGCAGATGATGATAGAAATCTGATTTTTCAAACGAGCAATAGACAAGGGACAAACAGAAGCAGATGTGTACTAAGCAGAATAAAAACAAGAGACTTTTCAACAACAGAAAGACAGTAATACAAACATATCCGATGGCTGTTCTTTTTTGTCGAAGATAGTGGGTGAAGGACAGACACCAACCAGTAAGTACACAGGAAACGCTTCTGAGTTCTATAGCTTTTAAAAAATTGCTACCTAGTGGTTTCACTTCATAATTCTACCTTCCTTCTAACACGAGGTTACAACGGAGAAGCACTTCTTTGGATGCTCACGTTTGGGCATTCAAACCAAAGAACTCTCTCTCTATATCTTCTTCCTGAAAGAACCAGGATAAGGCCGTGTGTAGTCCCCATGACTACATAAATATAATGGTGAGTGATACCTTTTATTGGATTACTATACAACTGCAAGCTTTCATGAAGAAAACTCCACTTCTTCAGGCTCAGCCCCACCGCTTCACGGACAGTGCAGAAGAATTGTAGACAAGCATCCAAAAAATGATGGTTCGTGTGTCTCAGATGCGATCCGAGCCCTCTTGAGGCCGCCGTCTCAAGGGACAACTCAAAGACGTATCAGCCTTCAGCACCAGTTAGGAGTTATAACTTGGTTCCAGGCAAGAGCAGCCGGTTGTCCAAGATTAAAGCAAATTAATGTTTTTCTTCACGTTACTCCAATTTACTTCCAGGCAGATCAAACTTTGTGCTGAAATGCTGCTTCTTTCTCTCTTTAGTTTTTGAAGACCCGCTTTCACTCTTCCCATCCCAGAAGGGCATATTTCTATATTTTAAGAGTGTTTGTTTCTGAATTTATCCATATCAAGATGAGTCTTGCATTGTAGAGTCCCACGTTCTACTCGTCAGAATTCTCACTGACTTCCTAAATCTTAGAATCATAGAATGATGGAGTCAGAAGGGGCTTCTAAGGCCCTCGAGGCCAACCCTCTGCTCGAGGCAGGAATACAGATCAAAATAGATCTGATAGACAACAGTCCAATTTTCTCTTGAAGGCCTCCACTGTTGGAGCACTCACCAAATTTGGAAGACAGGGCATCCCAAATTTAAAAAACAAGCATGTAAAGGAAGACGACATAGATGTGAAGGAAAGGGAAAGCTTAACAAAAGCTTAGCTTGCTGATTCTTGCTCAGTTATCACTAGCAGGACTCTGACCCAAAAGGAAAGGTTAGACTGAAGAAGTCATAATTAATCTTGGCCAAATTTTCTTAATGAACACCAGAAGCACTATCCTTCTTCTTTCGATTGTCGGAATAACATCCTGTATACCAATAATGGTCCACGAAAATTCTTTCTTGGCAAACAGAAATAGCAGCGACATTTCTCCAAGATGTATAAGAACTGATTGAGTACCTCTGTCTTGTTTATGTGTAGCTCACTCTGAATTCTACCTATACTTCAAATTCTTTTCAGTCCAAAGGAAAACTTGTAGAAGATTTTGGATTTTGCCATATTCTTTCAAGAGGAAGGAACAGGTTAATAAAATAAATAGCATAGTCTATGTCTGCTAGAAATCATACTGAACCCACTTGTTAAAACAGTGCTGACATTTTGGAGTGTTCATTCAGTTCAATAACTTTTACAAACTCTCTCTCTCTCTCCCTCGGTTGTTTTACTCTACTGACAATACAGCTTGTTATGCTCCAGGCCTACACTCATTTTTCCTGCTATACAGTAGGATCCCCCCATATCCATCAACATCTAGATTAACTTCAAGTCCTGGCAGAAAATAACCATGGGTCCACATGGAGACCTTGCCTTGTTCAGGAGCCCCAAAATGCAAATCTCTTGCATTATGGCCACCCTGCAGAGAATCACAGTCTACGGTTTCTGACAGCTACATTGACACATGAACTAAATCTTCTCTCCCCGTGGCGCTTCCCTAAGATTTCAGAGTAACTCGTCCTTTGATGGTTAGTGGCTTAACCAATAGCAACCACAACTATTCCGCATTGCAGAGAGTTCACCACTCCGATATCATAGACTTTTCAAAACCACACAGGCTAGAAGAAAAAAAGAGAGAAGCAGACAGACAGGCAAGATCGCAGGGAGAAAATCTGGTTGCTAGCCTAGTTCAAAGGGAAGTTGTTGCAGTTTAGACTTCGGAACAAGTTTAGCTGATTGGAAGCATGAGCCTGTGGATAAGGGAAGAAACTTTAGATACATTTCAACCGTTATTGGGAAAACATTGAATGCATAAAGCACATAATCAAAAATACACTCTGCTACTGCTATATGCAGACCAGAAAGGTTCTAGGTAAGCAGACAACACGTATAACCGGATAAACCTCTCTTTTTAATATTGTTCTTGTTTCGGCGTTTGAATATGTTAACTGTCTAATGCTTTTTAAATATTGTAATAATTCATTATTTTGCTTTTAACTTTGTTTGGTTTAAATGCTGTAAGTCACCTTGGATCCTGTGGGAGAAAGGCAGTATGTGAAAGAAAGAAAGAAAAAAAGAAAGAAAGAAAGAAAGAAAGAAAGAAAGAAAGAAAGAAAGAAAGAAAGAAAGAAAGAAAGAAAGAAAGAAAGAAAGAAAGAAAGAAAGAATGAATGAATCAGTCAATCAATAACCATAAGTTATGGTGACTTCTATTTTTCTTTCTGAAGAAAGAAAGAAAGAAAGAATAAATGAACGAATGAATCAATCAATCAATCAATAACCACAAGTTATGGTGACTTCTATTTTTCTTTCCGTTGATCCCATCTTCGAACAGGGAAAGCACATCATGCAACGAGGCCATCCTAGAATTCTGGGCCCCCTACATGCTCAGAAACTAAAAGTTAAAACTGATATTTTTTCCCCCTCCAGAATACTTTGCTAGCCCGCACTGTTAAGACAAGCGATATGGCATTCCTACCTTGTACAACCAGTTTTGCACTTGATTGGGTATCCCCAATGTCACACGTGTAGATGTCACTGTCATTTTCCACTAAGTTGTTCACCGTGAGCTGCAAGACCTTCCCCTTCTGGCTGATTTCGTATTTCGCGCTGGCTTTAAGATCCGTGATCCCTTTCCTCCAGGTCACAGTAGAAGCCGGCTTCTTGGTTTCGCACACGAAAACCGCTTTTTTGTCTTCATCCAACTTCAGATCTGAAAGGTCTTTGATGAAGCAATTTCCTGCTTCTGGAACAAAATTGGAATAAAAGGGTTTCTTACACCGGCATTCCCATGAAGCCTTGGAAGGGGAAGGATCATAACAGTGGCTCAGAGGTAAGGGAGGTTGGCAGGCAGATGTAGAAAACTCAAACATCACCCGTAGGCCAAGAATCTATTATTTTGGAGAACAATGTTCTAAGCTGCCCTTCATCTTCACAGTTACCCTTTCGTCATCATAATCCCTTCTTTTGGCAAATAATTTCAGTTCTACCCAAGACAGAACTACACCCAGCCTTCTTTTGCTTAAAAACCAAAATTCTTTGACAAAAGCCAAAAACCTGGATCACGCCCCTGCTCTGAGGATCGGTAGTACTGTTAAGCCATGTGTAAACATCTGTGTCAAACACTATGTAAACTCCACTGTGCAAACTACACTGTGTAACCTTCGGTCTTAATAAAATCCTTAGTCCTAAATTGAGTAGGCACATGGAATCACTTGGCATTACGTAAGTGTTTGCAGAAGGTTCCACGCCTTCAACGGATCTGCTCTAGCTGGAATTAAGAAGCAGCTCTAAGCATAGGGAATACGTGCTGAAATCAGGCGTACTCATTTACACTGAAACATTTAAGGTTTTCCTTTTAATCAGAGGATGACGCTATAGGGATGTCCAAGAGAAAATCATTCCCTTTGGAGAAGAAAGAAAAAGGGGGTTAGGAAGGAGAAGGCTCAATGCGTTGGGGGAAATCCTTCAATCAACCATTGAGATGATTGTGTTTCATGGGGTGCCAGCACAGACCTTCCACAGTGAGCACCGCTTTCGTCTTGGCGATTTCCGTCTCGCACGTGTATGTGCCGCTGTCTTTGACCGTGGCGTCGTGGATGATCAAGATGGCCCGGTTCCCCTCCTGCCTCAGGTCGCACTTCGGGCTTCTGCGAATCTCCTTGCCGTCCTTACACCACTTAAGGTTGGCGTCCCACTTGGAGAGCTCACAAGTCAGGCTGACCTCCTGCCCCACCGACGTGGTCCTGTCCTCCAGCCCTCTTGTAAACTCTGCCGGCTTTTCTGGGGGGAAAACAAGACAAGACTCTCTGTTCTTGGGGAAGGAAACCAACAAACGAAAGATCTCCCAAGTTCAAGAGCTTTTGAATTTGATGAGCAAAGCGGAAAACAGCAGCTGGTGTGTGTGTGTGGAGAAACTGAATGTTGAAATTTGAACGTTGGCTTTTGGGATAATAACCAAGCTACAGGTCATTCGGCGAGTGAGGTGACGTGTAAAACCAAAAAGTTAGAGTAACTGCTGCTACTGTGGTAAACTTTCCATTTAAGAATTTGTAATGAGGCGTATTAAGGGTTTAGGAAGGCCTTCATTCATACTGGTCGCCATTTACACAACACCAATGTGTGTACAGACAGATCCCAGAACCAAAGAGAGTGCATACCTATACCGTATTTTTCTGTGTATACGACTATACTTTTGTCTAAAATCTTTAGACTAAAAATTGAGAGTCGTCTTATACATGGATGTAAGTTGAGGAGAGAACAAACAAGTGGAGGGGAAAGCAGGGATCAAAGTGATCCTGCAGGGCTTTGATCGCTGCTTTCCCCTCTTCTTGCTAAGTCCCATGAGGCTTAGGAAAAGGAGAGGGGAGGATCAAAGCAATCCCGTGTCTGTATAAGGGGGAAAAGGATCAAAACGATTGTGCAGTCATGGGATTGTTTGATGCATTTCCGCCTCCTTTTGCTAAGTCCCACGGGGCTTAGCACAAAGGGAGAAAGCAGGGATCAAAGCGATCCTGCAGCGCTTTGATCCCTTTCCCCCTACATTTGCTAAACCCCACTTAGATTTCTTAATTTTGGGTTAGAAAAGTGGTGGTGTCTTATACACAGGAAAATACAGTAGTAAATAATTATATATACAACACAAAGGGTTGTAAGATGAGTAATTTATATCGGTATTCCTTTGAACTTTCTTTCCCAGCAATTTCCTTGGAAATTCCTTCCTCAGGATGTTCCTTTGAAATTCCTTTAGGAAGAAGCCTGGGTTTGGCGTTCTTGTTTTTATGGAACCTTTGCTAAGGTACCTGTGTCTACACTTCTCGGACAACAGCCGTCTTCCCCTGGTTCATTGAGGGGCCCTATGTACTGGGCTTTGCTATACATAAGAAATCTATTGGCTACATATTTATACGATTGCCCAATCCTAATATACAGTATGTGGTTGTATTTCAAAGTTGTGGTGAGGGGGATCTCAACACAGCTTTACCATGGCCATACAACTCTTCTCCTTACCTTTCACAACTAGAGACGCCTTTGAGTTCAAGTCACGGACAGAGAAAACGACTTCCCCAGTGTCCGAAGGCAGGGCTTTCTTGATATTAAGGCAGTATTTCCTCCCTTTGTTGAAGGCTCTGAACCGTCCCTCTTGGCCCACTTCGAGCCCATTGATTAGCCAGCGGCAATCGTCCACGCTTTCGTGCGAGAGGACGCATTCAAAGCTACAGCTCTCGCCTTCGAGGACTTCCGTGTTCTTCAGCCGTTTAGTGATGCCGATATTCAGTTCTAGGGGGAAAAAAATAATCAGAACGATTGCTTGTGGCCTTCAGATTGACACACATGCTCTTGCATGAATAGGGCTAAGCCGCCTTCTGCAAGATGGGTTCGCCCAGATGTCTTGGACGACAACGCCCCCCATCATCTCCACCCAGCATGGCCACTGGAGAAACTCAAAGACCATTCAAGATTCACAAGTGGAAACCGTCTCTGTGTTTGTGGGGGCAGAAATACTGGAAATGTTAGAGATAACCTTTCATTCCAAGAGGGGATTCCTAAAGGGCTAAATATGGGTGTTTGTCGCAGCAGGAGCTTCTCTCACCTCCCATACTTTGCCTGTTTGGATGTTATTTTAAGGTACATTGGCTTATGCCTTCCTTCAGTAGCATATTTAGATTAGGCATCCTTCAGTCTCAAGAGACTAGGGTAACGTGCTCTGGAACAGTGTCTAGTGTGGCTGAGAAAGCCAATTCAAGAGTGACCATCCCTTCCACACTGAAGACAAAGACAATCTGTCCCTGTCCAGCTCCCTGATTTTGCTGCTTTTGGGACTGCCTTGGCCTGCTGGACAAGGGTCTCTTCAAATTGGGAGAGGTCGGGATGCAAGGCCTGCCTCCAGGCTGAACGCTCAGAGGTCAGGGTTTCCCATCTGTTGAGGTCCATTCCTAAGGCCTTCAGATCCCGCTTGCAGATCTCCTTGTATCGCAGCTGTGGTCTTCCTCTGGGGCAATTTCCCTGCACTAATTCTCCATACAGGAGATCTTTTGGAACCTGACCATCAGCCAGTAGCATATTATGGTCTGGGATAAGGCAGGTGCCTGGGAGAATGGCATGGCGGTGTGTCTACCATTCACTAACTTCACAATTCTCAATTTCACAGAGTGCCACCTCCCCTACCTTGCACACTGACTTTAGACTTGGCAACCTCTGTGCCGAGATCACACGTATACAAGCCAGCGTCATCCTTGCTGAGGTCGTGGATGATGAGACCCAGGGTCTTTCCGGCCTGCAGCATCTCATACTTGTCTCCCGGGGTGAGCGCCACTCCTTCCTTTTTCCAGATGGGTTTGACCTTCGGCTTCGAGACCTCGCATTCCAGAGTGAGGGTGCTCCGTTCCTCTCCGACAACGTCGTCCAGGGACTTCATGAAGACAGCGGGCTTCTCTGAAAGGTGAAGGAAGGGAACAGTACCGTTAGACCAACTTCCCTTAACTGCTCAAAGAGGAAGTCATGCCAATTCATTAACAGCCAAGCCTGAGAGAAACATCCTCATCCCAGCTTCAGAATTACCACTCAAGGCCAAAACTGAGTATTTGACATTGAAATAGGCATGTTCAAAAACTAACACGTTGTAGTCATCTTAAAAGGTTCCTAGTCCTTACAGCTATGAAGAAAAACACATGTGTGTGTGTAGCTACTGAGACCTTAGAAGGATGGGTTCTGCCTAGTGATTGTAAAGCAACCTGTAATGAAAGATTTGAGCTTCAGTACATACTCTGATCCCCTTCACGGATTGCTGCCTTGTCGTGGCAAAGGGGCTTGAGTCATTCAGAGAAACTATGGGCTGTGCCATGCAGGGACACCCAAGACAGACAGGTCATAGTGGACTCAACGCAATCCACCTGGAGCAGGAACTGGAAAGCCACTCCAGTATCTTTGCCAAGGAAACTCCATGGACCGAAACAAAAGGCTAAAAGATATGACACTGGAAGATAGCCCCCTCAAGTCGGAAGGCATCCAACATGCTACTGAGGAAGAGTGGAGGACAAGGACAAGGAGCTCCAGGCAGGCGGGCAGGCGGGCAGGCAGATGGATGGATGGATGGATGGATGGGAGGATGGGAGGAAGGGAGGAAGGGAGGAAGGAATATATGAACAAGAAGGAAATTACCAAAAAGAAGTAAAAGCAAATGGGCACCTAAACTGCAACGGAGGTTGAGAACATCATCCAGTGAAGGAAAGACACTCACCCTTCACCTTGAGCCGAGCACTCTCTGAGACCTTCTTCAGAACTTTGACCGTCACCATCCCAGAGTCTTCTGGTGTGACGTGTTTGAGTGTCAGGCTGTGAGTCTTGCCCAGACTTTTGACCTCGTTAAAGTTGTTCGAGAAAAGGTGTGTGTCGTTGAGGAACCAATCCACGTCGTCACATTCCTCCGCCAGCTCGCAAGAGAAAACGGCACAGCTCTCCTCCTCGATTTCCAGATCCTGCAGATGCTTGGTTATCTCCACTTTGCGCTCTAGGGCAGGGGATGAAAGCAGAAAAATGAGGTCCTGTAGCAGTAAGAAGAACACGCCAAGTGCTTCAATACGGTGCCATTTTGGGGTCTAATTTTTGTACGGGGGTTGGTTTTCTTTTTGTTCATGGTTTTAATTTGATGCTTATTGTCAAGTGTTATTATTGAATTACTAAGTCTTATTTATATCTACGGTGTCCCATTGTGTCACCCAGAGGATCCTAGCCACTAGGGCAGGATAAAAATTTAAATAAATAAGTTGTTTTGTTTGTTTAGTCGTTCAGTCGTGTCCGACTCTTTGTGACCCCATGGATCAGAGCACACCAGGCCCTCCTGTCTTCAAATAAATAAGTTAGTAAATAAATAAACTGCAGCCTTCTGCAGATCCAAGCACTTTTTCAGAGAAGTGAATGCCCCAAGTAGAAGGATCCTCTCAACATTTCAGAGTTCAATCGTTCTCCTCTTCAGCTGCCCTAAAAGATGGGTTTTCTCTCCCCCCCCCGCCTTACTTGAGAGAAAACCCAGCTAACACTCTAGTCCCATGAGAAAGGCTCTACCTCATTATGTGTCCCTTTCAGCAACCATCACAGGTCTCAACAATACTGTACTGAGGTGGAATTGTTTTGGCTAAGACACCCGAGGTATGATGTTTTTCCATATGTCACAGGGGTGAGGTAAAGGTAAAGGTTCCCCTTGACATTGAGTCCAGTCGTGTCTGACTCTAGGGTGCAGTGCTCATCCCCGTTTCCAAGCCGCAGAGCCAGCGTTTGTCCGTAGACAGTTTCCGTGGCCAGTGCGACTTAGACACGGAACGCCGTTACCTTCCCACCGTGGTGGTATCTATTTATCTACTTGCATTGTTACATGCTTTTGAACGGCTAGGTTGGCAGGAGCTTGGACAAGTGACACAACACAACCTGGCCAATACACACACACACACAGAGAGAGAGAGAGAGAGAGAGAGAGAGAGAGAGAGAGAAATGCTTACAGACCTAAAACGGTCAAGTTGGCTTTGGTCTCTGCACTTCCAGCTTTGCACTTGTAAATACCGGAATCGCCAACGTTCAGCTTGATAATCTTGAGCTCGGCTGTATATTTCTCCCTCTTGGGCTTAAACCTCTCCGAGGGCTCGATGAGGGTGTGGTCTTTGTACCATTCTACAACCTTGGGAGAAGGCTTGAAGTCACAGGAGAGGAGGACAGAATGGGTTTCCTGGGCAATCTTGTCTTCTAGCGGCCGGGTGATGGTCACTTGAAGATCTGGAAAAAAGATGGTTGAGGAGGAAGGAGAGTCAGAGAAGACGGAAGGAGCGTTTTAGGCCGTGGGCCCTGCCAAATTCCAAAGGAATGCCTAATAATAATTCCCTTTGCCTCATGAGCAATAGCCTTTCAGATAGATACAGGCAAAAAGGAGAAGAGCGTACCGGGACGAGAAGGGGACCCGTCAAGAAGGCCTGAAAAGTAGAGCTTCAGAGAGAGAGAAAAACCGCTGAACTGACCTTTGACGACCAGGTTTGCTGAGGACTTTGCTTTGCCAATCGCGAACTGAATGGTTCCTGTCATGTCTATGTCCGTCTTCCTCAGGACCAGGTGGTGAGTTCTCCCCTCTTGCTCGATCAAGACGTCCTTGCTGGCCTGCAGCAGCTCTCCGCGAAGAGACCACTTGGGGGGCTTCACGGACTGGATGGAGATTTCACACTCGAACCTGGCTTCCTCTGGCTCGGTCACCTCCACGTCTCTCAGCTCCTTCACGATATGGATGGCTTGTTCTAAAGGGGGAACATTGGAATTCGCCCAAGAGAATGTTATTATTCACCCATCCTTGCCTTCTAGTCACAAATGCTCCCCTTTGTGGTTCTGGACTAGTGAAGTATCACAAGCAGCCAACCGCTGCGCCCTCTGCCTCCCTCCGCTTTTGGTCCTGCGTTTACACAGTATATTTCTAGACCAAACTCTTCCGCTACCTTTGACTTAGAGCTTTCTCCACCCTATAAGTCATTAACTTTACAGGGATCCTTTACAGGTCTTAAAAATGCAAGGATACATTTAAAAATCCATCCATCCATCCATCCATCCATCCATCCATCGTCTAACTTATTTCACATATGGTATTTGGACGTGAGGATCCGTGTGCCTCTTGAGCACCTGAATTTTCCTCCCACAACACAGAGATCAACCACACGCCCACTCTCCTTCAGGGGCTCCAACCAAGGAAACAGGCATCACCTTCCACGTAGAACTGAGCACTGCTCTTCTCATCGACGGCATCGCAGGTGTAAACGCCTTCGTCCTCAAACTCTGTCTCCTTGATGATGAGTTTCCGGTAGACACCTTCGCTCACTATCTCATACTTCTCGCTTGGATGGATCTTCTTGTTGTCCTTGTACCACGTGACTTCTGCGTTGGCGCGAGAAACCTGGCATTCCAGAACACCCCGATGCTTCTCCATCGCAATCTTTACCCGGAGAGGTTTTGTAAACTTTACAGGCAGTTCTAAAGGAGAGTGGAAGCAAAGAGGAGGAGGAAGAGGAGGAGGAGGAGAAAGAGAATAATTAAAAACTGCAGACCTGGAGGTTTACCCTCTCTGGATCATCAAGTCCAGCCCCTCTCTAGGAGGCCCTGCGGGGAATCGAACTCCCAACCTTCACCTAAAGCAGTCAGCTATCCAGAGAAGCAGAAAAAGAAGGAGGAGAAGGTCAAAATACAACCGTTTGCATTCGTAGGGTGCTTTATGGAGTTCAAGGTGTTTTCTTTCACACATTCTCTTGAATATTCGAATACATTCGAATATCCGTTTGATCATTCTACTTGCTCAACAAGCCAATGGATAACTGGAGTGCCTTTTATGGAACATGTACAACAATGTTTCAAGTCTCCCAAGTATGCAGGAGCTCTGTTGTTAAGAATGGGGTTACCTCGTGATCTTTGCCCGTACTGTGGAGTTTATGTGGAGCTGAGGCAGGTCTACAGCCAGGAGACAGTTACTTTTGGCTAAAAATCTGGGATTCTTGCCCCATAACATTTATCGTCTCCTCCATGGTTCTCAGACCTCCCCAAATAATAAAAAAAGGATCCAAAGTGATTTCTCTTCAGTTCAAAACACTACACGGTATGGGCAGCTTCATGTTTAAAAGTGGAGCTGTCTTAACTGGTAAAAGACATCTGTTTTTGTTCAAGGATGTGTCTTTTCTGCACTCTGCATTTGCAGACTGGCTTGCTTTGTGATCTGTCATCTGGAGAGATAAACAGCTCCCTTGGGAAATCCCAACGCACAGGTACAAATCTCTGAGGACCTCTGCCACTCTGCTTCTATGGCGATCAGCTTCTAAGGGCAAGCTGACTGTCTTGTGTATTGCCATCTAGCACAAAATTTCACAGCTCACAAGTCAATCTCTCAGCATTTATATGTTACACTCCAGGAAACAAGATCTGAGATCAGCGGTGTGGACACTGAGGGATCAAACAGGCGCTTCCTGTTCTGAATTTTATGGAATTGCCAAGTTTGAGATATCCTCAAAGAAAAACGAATGAAGCCGACTGACTACCGCGTTCACCTGCTTACCTTTCACTTTAAGGTGTGCTCTGGATTCTGCCTTTTCCGCGACAAATTTGATCTCTGCAGAATCTTGGACTTCCACACTCTTGTAGACCAGAGCATAGCTCTTTCCTAGAAGAAGAAGAAGAAGAAGAAGAAGAAGAAGAAGAAGAAGAAGAAGAAGAAGAAGAAGAGAGCACATTCTGAGTAACCCCCTTTAGTCTCTACTCTCTTCCTAACTTTCTGTTCGCAGCAAACTGCATGGCCACCAGCCCCCCACTCAGCTCCTTACCATCTTGACGCAGCTTGATGTTTTCTCCAGCTCTGATTTTGCGGTCGTCACTGAACCACTGGGTTTCAACCTCGTCATGCGAAATCTCACACAAGAAGGACGCACTCTCTTTTTCACACACTTCCACATCTTCCAGGGGCTTCACAATCTTGATGTCTCGGGCTAAGGGAATCACAAAAGACACAACTTCGCTGGCCTCTTGTTTTTAATTTCAGCTATGAAGACAACTTTGACCATTTCATGAGAAGAAAAGGCTCCCTGGAAAAGACCCTGATGCTGAGCAAGCGTGAAGGCAAGAGGAGAAGGGTAATCTTACCGTGGACCTCCAAAGTGGCTGAACTCTTGTCATCGATGGCATCACACATGTATTTTCCTTGGTCCTCATATTCGCATTTGTGAATGGTGAGGCTTCTCTTCGTCCCACGAGCTACAATTCCAATTTTTTTATTGGGCCGTAGTTCGATGCCATCCTAGAAAGAAGAAACCAAAGTCGGTGTCGATCATCTGAATTTTTTGGAAGATTCTGTAAAACCAGCCAGGTTCTCTTGTCTTAAAGGCAATGCCTCTGTTTCGTTCATGGCCCACCAAGTTCTCTTCAAATGGGGTAGAATGAAGCTCTATAGCTAGTTCTCCGATGCAATGGTCATTGACTCTCTGAAGTATTTGTCCAGAAATACAACGTAAAATTTAGAAACTCACTGCTCGTGTAAATGTCTCGGGAGAAAGCAGGAGAGAAAATGCCTCATATGGTTCAGAGCAGAATAGCTTCATTTTACTTTCTTGCTGTTATGGAATTTCCACAGCCAAAATTAGAGTGCCAAATGGGGTCTTTTGAACTGGCAGAATTTCTCTAGGAGCTACGCTTCGTCTGAAGAATTATGCAACTTGTCGTTCAGAATCAGAAACCTGCACATCTTCTATAGCAGAAGATTTCTAGAATACGAGATCTCCTTTCTGCAGTTTCCCCTGCTTGGTTCTAATTCAACCAAGTTTCACAAGAGTGCCAGTTAAATTTGCCACTTGGGAGTCCTCAGTCAAGAAGAGGTAACCAGACAGAGCAAACTAATTGAATATATATTTAATTACCACTTCATACATACCTTTCCAACAGGACAGCTGTGTCAGTCTGCTGCAGTGAAACTATTTAATTAATTAATGAATTATTTGATTGATTGATTGATTGATTGATTGATTGATTGATTATACTTATATACCACCCACATTACCCAAAGGTCTCTGGGTGGCTTATAAGTCAAATAAAATAAATGAATGAATAAACTATCAAAGACTCTTGCAGAATGTGGAAGAACAAATATTACTTGGTATAGGTTTTTGTTGACTTCACCCATTTACATTTCAAGAAGTAAGTTAACATCCATGAAGACTTCTGCTATGTAAAGCTGGTTAACCTTTAAGGCCTCATAAGTAGAGATGGGCAGGAACCGAACCACGAACCGGGGGGGGGAATGAATTTGGCCCAACCCCAAAAAACGAACCACAAACCAGTTCGTTTTTCGGGGAGGGGATTCATGAAAGTTTGTGGCTTTCCATTTCATGCTGATCTCTAAATCACAAGATTCCTTCTAGCCGTGTTACAGAAAAACTCCGATATGCTTCATAACCCTGAACCATAAAGCCGTACACTAGTTCACGCTCCGTACACCTTGAACCATCCTGCGTTTATTGATTCACTGCCCGACTTTAGCTGCCCTGCTTCCTGGGTTCATCTCAGGCAACGGAGACATGGGGCATCAACGAGAGCTGGAGCTTTCTGTGGAGCACGAAACCATGCCAGACCCCCTTCCCTGGGGAGGAATCATCACCCGACACATCAAAGTCAGTACCTTACGCCACTTTACATCTGCGTTTGGCCTGGAAAGTTCACACTCCAAGGTGACTTTGTCCTTGTGCTGAACTTTGGTGTCTACCAAAGGTTTGACTATTTTCACTGGGCTTTCTGCCAGAAAAAAAAAAAGAAAAGGAAGAAAAGGTTAAAAAAAGAACCCCCCATGTTTGTGACACAGACATTATTCAGCAAGTGTATCTCACACACATACACACGCTGTGAAATGTCACTTTTATATTATAAACCTGGAGACTTCATCACTGATATTAAAGCACAGCCATGGAGGGTGCAAGAAAGCCTCACGTCTTTACCGTTACCCTAAAAAAGCACGGCTCCCACACCATTAGGACTGCTGACCCCTTATCCAAAGGAAACGCCTGCGGTTCCCAAGGGTCTGGGAGTTCCAACACGGACACTTAGGAGCTGTACGGCTGGAATATTCCAGATAACCAGGTCTCTCTTTTTTTTCCATAGACAGACCTACTAATGAAAATATGAACGTCCCCCTCCAATCTGGACCCAATGAGACAAATGAGCCAGAGGCATGGCAGTTATGATATTTTATATGATAACTTCCCCTTCTCGGCAATTGGTTGTGTTGCTAATACGCTTCTGATTCAGAGTAAGGAAAAGAGAAGCAGCCTGCCATATATGCCTAGGTAAAGGTAAAGGTTTCCCCTTGACATTGAGTCCAGTCACGTCCGACTCTAGGGTGCGGTGCTCATCCCCGTCTCCAAGCCGTAGAGCCAGCGTTTCTCCGAAGACAGTTTCCATGGTCACGTGGCCAGCACGACTAGACATGGAACGCCGTGACCTTCCCACCGAGGTGGTACCTATTTATCGACTCGCCTTTTTACATGCTTTCGAACTGCTAGGTTGGCAGGAGCTGGGACAAGCGACCGGGGGCTCACTGTGGATTTGATCTTACAATGGCTGGTCTTCTGACCTTGCAGCACAGAGGCTTCTGCGGTTTAACTCACAGCGCCACCATGTCCCCACCACATCATATATGCCTAGCAACCATGAAATACATTTGCCCACCAGCAACCCAGCAGGTAATGCAGGAGAGACGTTCTGTTCTGGTCTCTCTTTTAAGGCTGCATTCATTTGCCTTTGACTAAAGTTCTACAAGCACGAATACGTACTTAAAGCCCCTTGTCAGAGATTCAGGATACTTGAAGGGAAAGGTAGCAGGATACCCCCATCCCCACCTGTCTTGCTCCCTTCACACATAGAGCAATCATCTGAAAGGGAAGAGGGCTTGGATGCATAAGACCATGATCTGCAACCCATGATCCAGAACCCAGATTTTCTGGGGAACCCAAAAGCACTGTGTCCTAAAGTGTCTGGCTTTGCTTTGCATGCTGTGACAATGGGAGACAAGACCAGCCATATCCCTTCCTTCAACTACACACAGTGTCCTCAATATCTGGATGAGATCTCTTGCGCCGGCAGTGGTCCCCAACCTTGGGCCTCCAGATGTTGTTGGCCATCAACTCCCAGAAATCCTGGCCAGTAGAGGTGGTGGTGAAGGCTTTTGGGAGTTGTAGTCCAAGAACATCTGGAGGCCCCAGGTTGAAGACCACCGTCTTGTGGTCAACGTCCTTGCATGGATGGAACAGTAGTACGAGTCCAAGAACATCTGGAGGCCCAAGGTTGAAGACCACCATCTTGTGGTCAACATCCTTGCATGGATGGAACAGTAGTACATACTTCTTCCAGCTGGAAACCTACCTATCCACCAACTGGAAGCTTCTACACAGATACTCATGATAGAAACCGGGCACCGGAAGGCAAGGGATGGCTTACCTTTGACGTTAAGCCTTCCTGTTATGTGAATGCCTTCTGCCTTGAAAGCAACAAGGCCTGAGTCCTCAATCGCAAGAGCGGCGAGAGTCAGGGAATGCTTCTTCCCCTGGGCGCGGATGATGCAGTTGTCTTTTGGTTTCAGCCTGACGCCATCCTTCATCCAGGTGGCTTCCACGTCCTCATGGGACAGTTCGACCTCAAAGGTGACAGACTCCTTTTCATGGACTTCCATCGGCTCCAGGCCTTTCACCACCTTGATGGGTCGCACTGTGGGGTCAAGCAAAGTTTGAAAAGAATTGGCTGAGTCTAGACCCCAAGGGAACCCTCGAGGTGGCCCTTCTTCCATTGGAGGGGGAAACGGAACAGTCCAGCTCCCGTTGGGAAAATACACCCTGGATGTAATTAGCAGGATGAGTACACGGAGCCAAGGTGGCTGTTTCCTTGAGACCTGCTCATGAATATCCACAGGCATTTGGGTGGCCGCTCATAGACACAGAATCCTAGACTCAATGGGCTTTCAGGTTATAAGCACCTCAACCTTCTTAGCACTTGCATTTAAAAAACAACAGGAAAAAACTACAGGACCATCCTTCTGTCATGAAGCAAGGCATATTTCAGGGACTTATCTGGAAAGATAAAGGTTCCCCTTGACCTTTAGTCCAGTCATGGTAAAGGTAAAGTCCACATAGTCAAAGCTACGGTTTTTCCTGTCATGATGTATGGAAATGAGAGCTGGATCATAAAGAAGGCTGACCGCCAAAGAATGGATGCTTTTGAATTGTGGTGCTGGAGGAGACTCTTGAGTATCCCCTGGACTGCAAGGAGAACAAACCTATCCATTTTGAAGGAAATCAACCCCGGACGCTCCCTGGAAGGACGGATCCTGAAGCTGAGGCTCCAATACTTTGGCCATCTCATGAGAAGAGAAGACTCCCTGGAAAAGACCCTGATGTTGGGAAAGTGTGAAGGCAAGAGGAGAACGGGGACGACAGAGGACGAGATGGCTGGACAGTGTCATCTAAGCTACCAACATGAATTTGACCCAACTCCGGGAGGCAGTGGAGGACAGGAGGGCCTGGCGTTCTCTGGTCCATGGGGCCATGAAGAGTCGGACATGACTAAATGGCTAAACAACAACAAAGATAACTGGATGGATGGCTGGACAAATGAATGCCCTTTGTTCTTATGGTTATTTGTGTTTAAACTAAAATTGGAGCATGGAAGCCTTCTGTTCTGTTCCCTTATTGAGCTAGGCTCCCTTACATTAAGAAGGCAAAATTAACTACTGGATAGACTTGACAGCACATAAGCAACTGTACGGCTTTAAGGACAACCAAAAGCAGAATTAACAAAAATCGACAAAATTTGTAAAAATTTGCAAACATGGGCACTGCACAGGTATAACACCCAAGGACAGATTGTCGTCATGTCAAATGTGAAACCGACACAGAAATATACTCCTTAGTTATTTATGTTTACATTTGGAAAGACCCACTGGAGACCTATCTGCTCAATGAGCAAGTGACCGGTTTGTTCTTCAGTTGCCATCTTTCACGAGGTCCTCTCTTTTAAGGCTGCCTTCGCCTTCGGCTAAAGGCTCAGCTGTTCCTCAAGACCCCTTTTCTGATATTTTGCTCTCTAAGCAGTAAGGAGATTCTCAAAACCCCGGCGTACCTGTCACAGGGATGACCTTTGGGCTGGGTTGGTGGAGATTCCATCGCTCCAGAGGAAGGAATGTGCTTGTAAGCATACTGGGGTTATTTTAGGGAAGAGCTGCGCAGGAAGGGATTAGCAGAAAGACCAACTCGGTGCAGACAAGGATTGCACAAGGAGGAGCTGATCCTGCCATACAGCTGGAGACTAGGGTGAAAGCACTTCTTGTCCTGTACACCCAGTCCGTACAGCCACTCTGGAAATGCGGGGGGGGGGGGGAAAGAGGGTCCATGTTGGCTGCAGAGCTTATTGGGTTTGAAGTTCAATTCCTCCCCTGGGCCTTTTGGGAGAAGCGCCAGCCTGTGTAGCCTTGGGCAAGCGGCGCAGCTCCGGTGCACCCTTACAGCGAGGGAATGGTGATCTACTTTGGAGTCCTCTATACCTAGAAAATCCTGGGGAGGGCCACGGAGGTCAGAATAAATTTGATGACACTATGCTGTTGTGTTGTTGTGGCCCCCTTTGTTTCTGTGGAGTTAAGGACGTCTGTGACCGCCTTCCCCTGGAACGATGGAGCTGCCTTCAGAGTAGAGGAGACTTTGTTCCCGGTAGAAGCTGGGCTGCACCAAACCCTGTAAGTCAGTCATTGCATGGGAAGATCAGATCTAATTGAATGGGAGCCCTCCACTTGCTAATCCTTAACAAAAAGAAAGCAGGGATCAAAGCACTGCAGGATTGCTTTGATCCCTGCTTTCACCTCTGCTTGCTAAGTTCCCTACACTTGCTAAGCCCCACTTAGGTTTCTTAATTTTAGGTTAGAAAAGTAGGGGGGGGCGTCTTATATATGGGGCATCTTATACACGGAAAAGATAATCCAAAGAAGGAATTCTTAAGTGCTGAAATTGACTGGCTGTCACGTCAAAAGCTCTATGAGCTTCTTATGCTTTGCAAACAAGGCCTGCTTCATTTTTCATTTTGATCTTCTAGATACTGAAACAGGCTCATTGCTTGGTCTCCGAGGTCTGCTGAGATCTACAAAATTAACACAATTTCAGCTAGAAGGGTGTGCTACCCTATAAGACAGACTGGCCCCAAACTCAGGAGCTTCTGTATAAGAGTTCTCTGCCCGGTCACAAAGCTATGGTTTCCCTCTTCTTGGTGTCCCAATGTCACATAAATGCCTTTCGAGGGGCCAGCTTTGCTTTCCAAAATCCTAGCCCCTCGAGAAGATCACGCAGCTTGTCCTGACTTACTTTCCACGGTTAATTTGGCCTGGGTCTTGTCATGGAGGGTCTCGCAGGCGTAGAAGCCACGGTCCCCACAAGCAGCGCTCCGAATCACCAGGCTGTGCTTGGTTCCCTCGGCCTTGATCTCCACGTTCGCGTCCGGATGGAGGATGCTGCCGTTCTTCGCCCATTTCACTTCTGCGGTCGGCTTGGACAGCTCTACCTCTAGCCGGACGGTCTCCTTCTCCTCCACGGTTTTGGGCTCCAGCTTCTTCACGAAGACCGCCGGCGCCTCTGCACACCACCCACAAAGACACACAAAGGCAACGGTGAGGGCCTCCAGAAAATGATCCTGATGAGACACGTCTATCAAACGTTTTTATGCAGATGACGGCACGCCATGCGACGGTGACATTCAACCTCCAAAACGAGAGACGTTACATTTTAAAGATAAGGGTGGGGGGGATATCTTTATCAAAGCACTAGAACATTACGCGCGGAGGCTAGTGGCCACACGGAAGGTCCTTCACTTGCCATGTGATTTAGCGTTACACCTGCCTGATGGACGCACCTCTACATCTGGAAGTCGATTCAGCTCTTGGACGTCTTCTCCTTTGAAGGACACCACTTCAGATTGTAGAGTGGGAGGGCCTTGCCTTTTTTGCGTCCTCCCACACAGGAAGACCTTCCTGCACGAAGGAATCGGGCACACTAGGGGGAAAGGGGAGCTATACCCCTCCTTCTGATGTGCCAATTTACTACACAGAAGGAGCTCTTCACACGTGGAAGAACATTAACTTTAACGATGGCTTCCATTTCCCACCACCATTTACAACTGAAAGCGGTAAGTGTTGGGAATTTTACTAGTGCATCCGCTTCTTCTGAGAAGGGTCACTGACGTCACGGCTGGAATCCTGCCGCCTAACGTAGTAAGTCAAACTAACAGGGAAGGGAACTCATGTTGAGGGACTTGCCATCAAGTTGGACTTACATCACACCAGAGCCTCAACTCCGCTCTCATTTTCCCCCCTATGATTTGGACCCGAACTCATGCTAGAGACAGGGGTATTTGTATACGAATATCCCTGCACAGATGGCATTCACAAGGGTCCAGCCCGATAGGGCCGGATGGTCCACTCACCGATCTGCAGTGGACATGGATGGCGCGTTTCTACCAATGGCTCCACAGCACGGAATTTGCTCGCCTGGGGCCGGACGGTCCACTCACCGATCTGCAGTGGACGTGGACGGCGCGTTTCTACCAATGGCTCCACAGCGTGGAATTTGCTCACTTCTCCTGGCAAGAGGTGGGAGGACCAGCCTCGCTGCAAGGTCGAAGCACGGCGAGTGGATTGCGTACTGCGGAGCCATCAGTAGAATCATGCCATCCGCGTCCACGGTGGATCGGTGAGTGGACAGTCCGGTACCATGGGACTGGACCCTTGTGAACACCACCTCTGTGGGGATATTCGTATACGAATACGAATACCCCACTATGTACTTGAGACCCATCCAGCCCCTCCCTTTTTTCTGGGGGAAAAGGCTTATTTTTAACAGGGACTCGGGGTTTGGGGATTGATAGCCAAGACACAGACTTGAATTTGGGCCTTGGTAGCCAAACTCAGACTTAGGCCTCAGTTCCAAAGATTTGCCAACATCCCTGGTCACTAGAATAGGTCCATTGAATTAGTGGGGATTTGGTGAGTCAGCCCTTGTGTCCATTCCCTTGTTTCAGTGGGCCTACTCAAGTCACAACCTCCTCCACTAAGAAACAGGATTTTGGCCGCCATCTTTTTCTCAACGGGCTTTCCAAAGTATGGCATGATTCCTGCAAGATACTATGGTTTCCCCTACTTTTAAAAAATCTTTATGGAGTTAAGCACCCATCCAATATTGGGGGCTTCTATGCCCTTTTCCCCTCCTTGGTTTCTTGCCGCCTACTCCAAGGAAGTGTCTGGAGAACTCACAGTCTCACATATTTTGTAAATATTAAAGTTGTTCCTTATTAAAAATATTGCTCATTTATAGATGATGGGAAATCCTTTTTTTTAAAAGGGGGACTATTTAGAAATGGGATCCCTTACTGGTAGCATAAAAGTCTACTGTCTGTTCTGTTCCCTCAGCATTTAATGCATGCTAAGCATTGTAAAATGCTTCCAAGAGGCTTCAGACTGTGAGGTAAAGCGGGCATTGGTTTCTGCTCACCTTCCACCTTAAGGTGAGCTTTGCTCTCTACTCCTTCCGCTTCTGCTGAGATTTCCCCAGAATCCTTCAGAGTCAAGTCCTTGATGGTGAGGTGGTGGTCCGAGTCCTTCTGAGAAATGACGTATTTTTTGCCCGCTTCGATTTGGGCTCCGTTTCGGCGCCACGTGACGGCTGCGTCGCTCGGGGAGACGACACATTTGAAAACGGCCTCTTTGCCTTCTTCGGAGACGATGTTGTGGAGGCCCTTCACAAATTTCACCACTCTAGGAACTGAAGAGAAAGATAGTTAACGGCTATTTTTAAAAAATAATAACTTCACACATTCATCATTAATATAAAACATTCACCTTTTTTCATCTCTCTGTAAATTCTCTCCTAAAAATACTGTCTCCTGATTTATGGTATCTTGGCAGATCTGTGTTGAGAACGTGAATTGGTCAGAGTTTTCCTTGCATGCTGTCTTTAGTAGTGGTGGCTGAGAGGGATTTCTCTGGTTTGGGGTGACTGTCTATCTATTCAGCACTAAACAATCATCCTTCCCTGCCTCTGATTCAAAGAGAACCCTGCCTTTCTGCTCCAGTCTTTCCCCTTTCCTGAACCTGTTGAAAGCAGGAATGAGCCTGTTGCTGCAAGCAGCCGTGTTTGTCCTCAGTTCACTGTCTGATCTGTTCAACAGTAAGTAAAGAAAGTGAAGCTTGTTATTCTTTCACCAACTCATGTTTCAGAGTGAAATATTGAAATATTGTAGGTGCCCGTTAATGAGAAGGAAAGGGGTGGACTACTCTGGGGACAAAGGTCCCCCTTGCCAACAATGGTCTGCATAGTCAAGGCTAAGGTTTTTCCTGTAGCGATGTATGGAAGTGAGAGCTGGACCATAAAGAAGGCCGATCGCCGAAGAATTGATGCTTTTGAATTGTGGTGCTGGAGGAGACTCTTGAGAGTCCCCTGGACTGCAAGGAGAACAAACCTATCCATTCTGAAGGAAATCAACCCTGAGTGCTCACTGGAAGGACAGATCCTGAAGCTGAGGCTCCAATCCTTTGGCCATCTCGTGAGAAGAGAAGACTCCCTGGAAAAGACCCTGACGTTGGGAAAGGGTGAGGGCAAGAGGAGAGAAGGGGACGACAGAGGATGAGATGGCTGGACAGGGTCATCAAAGCGACCAACATGAATCTGACCCAACTCCGGGAGGCCGTGGAAGACAGGAGGGCCTGGCGTGCTCTGGTCCATGGGGTCATGAAGAGTCGGACATGACTGAATGACTAAACAACAACAGCTCTGGGGAACTTGAAGCTAATTCTGCTAATTCCTGCAAGAGACACTCTTCTCAGAACAGCAGATCCCCACTAGAACCCTGGATGTTCACCTCTGGACCAGTGAGCAAACGACACCTTGACAGAAGGTCCATAGATCTAAAACCATACCTGTGGGAGTGACATGAATGCTGCACATCTTTGGTAGGCAGTGGAAGACAGAAGGGCCTGTCGCGCTCTGGTCCATGTGGTCATGAAGAGTTGGACACGACTGAATGACTAAACAACAACTCTGGGGAACTTGAAGCTAATTCTGCTAATTCCTGCAAGAGACACTCTTCTCAGAACAGCAGATTCCCACTAGAACCCTGGATGTTCACCTCTGGACATAAAGTCCACAGATCTAAAACCATACCTGTAGGAGTGACATGGATGCTGCATTTGTCATCTTTGGTTTCACACTGGTAATCTCCCTTGTCTTCCGCCCGGAGCCCTGTTATGATCAGGACCCGCTTTTCGCCAATTTCACGCATTTGGTGGCGCTTGTCCGCTTTGAGTTCGACTCCATCCTTGCACCAAACCACGACGCCCTTGGGCTGGGTCAGTTCGCAACTCAGACTTAGAGTCCCTCCAATCTCCGCTTTCACTGGCTCCAGTTTCTTGGTGAACTTTACTGGAATTTCTGAGTTTAATTGAGATGAGAAGGGGATGGGGGAAAGTACATCAACACACATTACATGTTTTTTTTCCAGAATCTTTGAGAAGGCGGGGGCTGGGCATCTCATCTTTACAACGTCTTGAGATTTAGACTGCTCTTCCTTAGAGAGAGCTCTCAAAGCCTAAGGCAAGAGTCAATCTCTTCCGAGAGGAATAAGAATAACATCTGCCGTCAAGTCAATTCTGATTTATGGTAACCCCTTTTCAGTGTTTCAAAGTAAAGAATACACATAAGGGGTTTCCCGTTCCCTTCTTCTAAGACTGTGCAGCTGGCCCAAGGCTACCCAGGTTGGCTCTTCTGCCAATGGGAGGAATCGAACTCCCAACCTCTTGCTTTGCAAACCATTTCCCTAAACCACTGAGCTATCCAGCCAGCTTCCCTGACAGGAAGAAGGCTTCAAAATAAGGCTCCATCTACAAAGTCATTCCGTGGCTGTCATTGAAAACGTACAAAAAATGGAGCCTGGGGCCCAGCTGTTTTGAAGTGCACAAGAATAACTCTTTAGATGGTAGCTGGAAAAGGTACTCCTCTTCCCTGGGAGGATTCTGGGGCTTGTAGCCCCCAAAATAACCTTTCTGTGCTGTGTTTTGGATCTCAAAGGTAGAGTCAAAAGTACAGCAATAATAACCGGTTGCATTTCAGCAGCCAAGGAGCGGTCTACTCATCAAGACTTCCACTAGCCTCAAAGTGTAGGGCTCCAAAATCGTCCATAGCTCTTTGCCATGTTAAGTGATGCCAACACAAGGGAAGAAACATGCCAATTGAGTCATCTGAATAATATGCACAACTGGGAGAAACTACCCCGTTTCTCTGGAAATAAGACCTAACCTGAAAATAAGCCCTAGTAAGATTTTTCAGGATGCTCATAATATAAGCCCTACCCAAAAATAAGGGTCCTCCGTTTCAACCTTCCCAAACCTGAGGCGCTCCAGACGGCTGGGTTTCCATCTCCCAGAACTGATGGCCTCAGCTTATGCTGGTTGGGGATGAACAGAAGTCTGACACCTGGAGAGCAGCAGGTTGGAAAAGATTGACTTACAGCTTTCAGGCTGGGATAGGTCTGGGGTGAGGTCCCCAAAACCAGTAGGCCCAGTCTTCCTCACCATTACACCTGGCATAAATTGTGCCTGTAAATTTAAATCCATGGAAGTAAATGGGTTCTGGCTTTCAGAATGGAAGTCCAGAATGGTAAACTCTTTCCTGATTAATTCAGAGGCCTTCCTCTTACCTTGAACCTGCACATGGAATGGCTGCTTATCATTCTTGACCTCGCAGGTGTAGACGCCAGCATCCCCGCCCTCTGCCTGCTTCACGGTCAGGGTCCGAGCACCCCTGTCAGACTTCATCTCATACTTCTTGCCGCTTTTGATTTCGGTCCCATCCTTGAACCATTTTACCTCAGCATTTTCAGGCACCACCGAAGTTGAGAGGACAATGTTCTTCTGCTCCTGAACAACCACCTTCTCTTCCTGGGCAGCTTTTCTTTGGAATTTTGCCTCTGGTTCTGTGTAAGTGATAGATAAATCAATAAAGAGATCCTTATAAGTACCATATTTTTTCCGTGTTTAAGACTATACTTTTGTCTAAAAGATTTAGACTAAAAATTGAGGGTCGTCTTATACACTGAAGTAAGCTGTGGAGAGAACAAAAACAAGTGGAGGGGAAAGTAGGGATCAAAGCGATCGTGCAGCACTTTGATCCCTTTCCCCCTGCACTTGCTAAGCCCCACTTAGATTTCTTAATTTTGGGTTAGAAAAGGGGGGGCATCTTATACATGGGGGCATCTTATACACGGAAATATACAGTGACTTTATATTTTTTATGTCTGTGTGCATGCTCCTGAGTGAAGGAGTCGGAGGGAAACTATCATTATAAAATGGTTTGCAAAAATTCTAGAGAACTTCAGCAAGCCCAAATGTGAACAGTTACATACCTACCAGTCACAGGTTTAATTTGCAGAATTGATTGCTGAAGGCTATTGTTTCTACATCGATCCAGATGCAGGAGGGAAAAGTGGTTAATTCTGTGGAATACCTATTCCCCTCGGCATGTAGGGTGACCCCCTAGGGAAAGAAACTTGCAAAGTTTTGGGCACTGGCCTGGTGGCAGTAAATTTATTTCATCCAGAGCATGAAACACTAACTCAATAGCAAGCGCTGCCCTATTAGAGTATTTTGTGCAGAGAAAATTGATGGAATTGATTTCTCCTGGACAAGTCCTGAAATGGAAGTGTTCTTTAGATGACCTGATTCTCTGATTTTTAAAAAATAACGTTCTTGGATCCATGAAAACGGAAATGTGCCTTTTTAAGAAGAGGCACTAAACAGACAGATGTATTTAGAAAGGTATTTTTTCCAGAAGATGACATCTGGAAATGGATGTAGATACAGGGCAGGACAGGTTTGTGATCAAACGCATACAAAACTGACAGGAACGGCAGTTACCCGGGTTTGAAACAGAACCACTTCCATACAAACCAAACCACTTCAGTAAGCAAATATAACTGCCCAAAACTTCCTTGCACAGTCTTAACAATGTCATCATCATCCACAGAGCTCTTGTAACAGCTCGTGTATGGATCTAACAGCCCCTGCAGAAATTCTGTGAGTCCTAAGAAAATTAAAAGAATCCTGATTTGTCACATTTATAAGAACGTAAGAACCTAAGAAGAGCCTTGTGCTGGATCAGGCCAAGGGCCCATTGAGTCTGGCTCCCTGGATCTCACGGGGCCCCCACCGGATGCCTCTGGAAGCACACGAGACGACCAGATCCCTGTCTCTTGATCCCTCTTCCCCTGCATGTGACATTTGGAAGTCCCTTCCTTCTAAACCTGGAGATTATACATCCCTATCACGTAAGAACCTAAGAAGAGCCTTGTGCTGGATCAGGCCAAGGGCCCATTGAGTCTGGCTCCCTGGATCTCACGGGGCCCCCACCGGATGCCTCTGGAAGCACACGAGACGACCAGATCCCTGTCTCTTGATCCCTCTTCCCCTGCATGTGACATTTGGAAGTCCCTTCCTTCTAAACCTGGAGATTAAACATCCCCATGACAGCTTGTAATTTCTCTGGATTTCCCTCATTCCCTATGAGGACTTGAGCAGAAAAAAATTCCCGACAGTTTGTCTCTACATCCTTGGAGTTACTAGCAGTCCCATCTCACGATTCAGGAAGCCAGTAGTGGGAAATGTTCTTCGACAACCCAGAGTCACTCCATTTCAACACAAGGTCCAGGTGTTGACTGCGTTTGGCTGCCGTTCCCTTGGGGAGAGGGGAGTAACTCACCTACGGCTTCGATGAGCAGAAAAAAATTCCCGACAGTTTGTCTCTACATCCTTGGAGTTACTAGCAGTCCCATCTCACGATTCAGGAAGCCAGTAGTGGGAAATGTTCTTCGACAACCCAGAGTCACTCCATTTCAACACAAGGTCCAGGTGTTGACTGCGTTTGGCTGCCGTTCCCTTGGGGAGAGGGGAGTAACTCACCTACGGCTTCGATCTTGAAGGTTTCCCTATGAGGACTTGAGCAGAAAAAAATCCTGACAGTTTGGCTGCCATTCCCTTGGGGAGAGGAGAGTAACTCACCTATGGCTTCGAGCTTGAAGGTCAGCTTCTGCCCAGCAGCCTCACAGGTGTACTCTCCAGCATCCTTCTTGTCCACCTGCTCCAGCAGCAGCTTTCGGGAGGTGCCCTTGGATTCCATCTTGATTTTGTGGCTGGAAGCAAGAAGCTTTCCCTCTTTGTACCATTTCACTTCCGTATCACTGGAGGCTACCTCGCACACCAGAGCAGCGCTCTCCTTCAAGACGGCCTTGACCTCCTTCTGCACCTTCTCTTTATTAGCAAATGCACTTACAGGCTCTGTAATGGAGGAAAGAAACCAGACGCCCTGTTGGTTAGGCGTCTGATCCCCCACAAACCATGTTTCTGAGCAGGAGGTATAGGCTAGGTTCTGTGTTGTCGAGCTCCATCTGACTCGTAACGGCCCTAACAAGGTTTCCAACACTTGTGAGATATTTAAATCATGGTCACCACCATGTATACATTACTGAAACAGCGACGTCTATGTTGGCTCGGGCATGTCGTAAGAAATGGCTGATGGTCGGATTCCGAAAGATCTCCTGTATGGAGAATTAGTGCAGGGAAAGCGCCCCAGAGAGAGACCCCAGCTGCTATATAAGGAGATCTGCAAGCGGGATCTGAAGGCCTTAGGAATGGACCTCAACAGATGGGAAACCTTGACCTCTGAGCGTTCAGCCTGGAGGCTGGCATTGCGCCATGGCCTCTCCCAATTGGAAGAGACCCTTGTCCAGCAGGCCGAGGCAAAGAGGCGGTCACGAAATGAGCAAAACCAGGGAGCTGGACAGGGGACAGATTGGATTTGTCTTCAGCGGGGAAGGGATTGTCACTCTCGAATTGGCCTTCTCAGCCACACTAGACGCTGTTCCAAGACCTTCATACACAGCACGTTACCATAGTCTCTCGAGACTGAAGGATGCCTATTACTGGTCACCACCTTCCAGTGAGCTTCCATGGCTGAGCAGAGATTTGAACTCAGATGGCCTTAGAGTCCTAGTCTAATACTCTACCCACTATACCACACTGGAGGTGTACAAGAACATGGGATTTAGGGAAAGGAAGCTTTAAAAACTGGATCATTTGGTAAGAATGATGAGAAACTGGAAGGAAAAATGAAGCGACACAGAAACCGGGAACAATCTAGGGGCATTTTTGAAACAGGAAGTTTCCCATGGTAGATTTTGGAGAGAGAGAGAGAGAGCCCTGCTATCTGGTTTCAGAAACAACAACAGAAACAAAACAAAAAAATTAACAATCCCGCTCTTCAGAAAGGTTCACAATGAAATAAATGGTGTTAGTCTTAAGAGGCTGCAATACATATTTCCATTATTGGCTTTGGAAGTGATTCATATTAGGGTTTAAAGTAATAACTATATGACTACCTTTCAAAGTTTTATAATGCTGAATTCATTTAGACATACAATTGAACTTGGACTGATTTGAACAGCAAGCTGAGAGCAGTGAGTTATATGCTGGTGAGGGGAAAGTATCTCCAGGGGTTCCCCGCCTTGGTTCTCCAGATGTTCTTGGACTACAACTCCCAGAAGCCTTCCCCACTAGCTGGGCTGGCCAGGATATCTGGGAGTTGCAGTCCGAGAACACCTGGGGACCCCAGGTTGGGATCCACCAGTTTATTGTTCTCATCTTAACTACCCTGTGAGCCCTAGCAAACCATTGCACACCCTTGGCAATCTATGCTCCTCTTGGAAATTTGTATGTTGGGGTGACTCAGCATCAAAACGGTTTCTCTTAAATCACTCTGGGAACTGTATCATAGAATCATAGAAATGTGAAGTGGGAAGGGGCCCCACAAGGCCATCAATTCCAAACCCCTGCTCAAGGCAGGAATCCAAGCCAAAGCATATCTGATGGGTGATGATCTAAGTTTTTCTTGAATGCATCCAGTGTTGGAGAACTCATCAACTCCCAAGGTGACTTGTTCCTCTGTCGTACTGCTCTAACAGTTAAGAAGTTTTTCCTGAAATTCAGCCTAAATCTGGCTTTCTTTAACTTGAGCCCATTGTTGCGTGTCCTGCACTCTGAGATGGTCGAGAACAGATCCTGCCCCTCCTTTGGAGAACAGCCTTTCAAATATTAGAAAAGTACTAGCCTATCACCCCTCAGCCTTCTTTTCTCAAGGCTAAACATGCCCAGTTCTTTCAGCCTTTCCTCCTAAAGCTTGGTTTGCAGCCCCCCTGAAAAATTTATTTTCAAACTTTTGAAACTTTTTCAAACTTCTTTCGTAAGCTAGCCACGCCACACAACTTCATTTCCCAAAGTCCTGTTGCTAGGAGAAATTACAGGTGGATCAAGCATTTGAACAAAAAGTTCTAGATACAAAAAGAAAAAGAAAGAAAAAAAGGAAAGGAAAAAAGGAAAAAGAGAAGGCAAAAGAACATAGCTATTTTTAACCCTTTTAACCTTGATTGTATTCCTAGAAGATTATCTCTCTAAATAGGGAGGTGATATTTTCTTCTCACCTGTGACCTTAAGTTGGAAGGTCAGTTTCTGTCCAGCCGCCTCGCAGGTGTATTCACCCGCATCCTTCTTCTCCACCTGTTGAACCACCAGACGCCGGGATTTGCCTTCGGCTTCGACCTTGAGCTTTTTGCTGGATGTGATCTGTTTCCCCTCCTTGAACCACTTCACTTCCGCCTTGTCTTGGGCCACCTCGCAGCTGAGGATGGCATTCTCCGAAGATACCACCTTGACCTCTTTCTGGATTTTCTCTTTGTGGGCAAAGATTTCCTCCACTTCTGCACCATGAACGAGAGCGGAGATAATAAAACAAGCAAAATAATAAATGTTTCAGGCACAGACCGCTGTCATAGTGTGGATTCGCCTAACACGGATGCCATTTTGCCCACTGTTAGTGGTTCTGGCACTGATTTATACAATCAGAACTGGGAAGAGGGAGATTTTGCTCTAGCAGAGATTCCCGGATGCCACCGTTCAAAGACAGAATGATATAAAGTGAAATAAAATGGCGCTTTTACCTGCTACAATGACTTTGAAGGCCAGTTTTTGTCCTGCAGCTTCGCAGGTGTATTCGCCCGCATCCTTCTTCTCCACCTGTTGAACCACCAGACGCCGGGATTTGCCTTCGGCTTCGACCTTGAGCTTTTTGCTGGATGTGATCTGTTTCCCCTCCTTGAACCACTTCACTTCCGTCTTGGCCTGGGCCACCTCGCAGCTGAGGACGGCGTTCTTCGAAGAGACCGCCTTGACTTCTTTCTGGATTTTCTCCTTGTGGGCAAAGATTTCCTCCGCTTCGGCAACTGGAGAAGGAGAGAAGAAGCAGAGTTGCATACATTTAACTCCTCTGTTAAGGCAGTTCTGGCTTGCCATTCATCCGCGGTCAATGATGACTCAGGGCGTAGAGTCGTCCACCAAACCCCATCAGAGTGCTAGTTCTCTCCTTTCAACCTTCTAAAAATCAACTCTCCCAATTCATATTGCAACACAGCACACACAGAAAATTGGAAGGGGGGCCACCGCCGGGGCTTTAAGAAGACAGCCGCCTGACCATCCTCTGTGTCCAGACTCCTCTTGTTGACTGTGTCCCGTCATGAATACTTTAACTGTACAGAGCATAGCACATAGGTGAGAAGATATCAAGTATTTAGGTTCTACTTTGTGTGGGGTTTTTTTAATTTGACCCAAAGATCTACCCGCCAGAGCCTGGAGAAAAAAAAATCACCTAGCATTAAAGAATTCTGAGTACAAAGATTTGTTTTTGAGCAGCAGAATGACAGGTGACCCATGACCAATGCCAAGCCCTCTAAAACAATTCTGAGGGCAGTTTCCTAGGGCTTATTTTCAGGGAAACAGGGCAAATAGCAAGAAGAGTAAAACAACAGCAACAGGAGGAACCAAAAGAAAGGGGTGAAGGAGGGGGGTGGTCTTTGTTCATTAGAAAAGGCAGGCGCAAACATACCGTAGCATGTAAAAAAGAATACACAAACCTTTTCCTTCTGCAACGCTGACTTTGAAGGCCAGTTTCTGGCCAGCCGCCTCGCAGGTGTATTCGCCCGCATCTTTTTTCTCCACCTGTTGAACCACCAGACGCCGGGATTTGCCTTCGGCTTCGACCTTGAGCTTCTTGCTGGATGTGATCTGTTTCCCTTCCTTGAACCACTTCACTTCCGTCTTGTCTTGGGCCACCTCGCAGCTGAGGACGGCGCTCTCCGAAGGGACCACCTTGACCTCTTTCTGGATTTTCTCCTGGTGGGCAAAGACTTCCTCCACTTCAGCAACTGGAGAAGGAGAGAAGAAGCAGAGTTGCATACATTTAACTCCCCTGTTAAGGCAGTTCTGGCTTACCATTCATCCACGGTCGATGATGACTCAGGACGTAGAGTCGTCCACCAAACCCCCTCAGAGTGCTAGTTCTCTCCTTTCAACCTTCTAAAAATCAACTCTCCCAATTCATATTGCAACACAGCACACACAGAAAATTGGAAGGGGGGCCACCGCCGGGGCTTTAAGAAGACAGCCGCCTGACCATCCTCTGTGTCCAGACTCCTCTTGTTGACTGTGTCCCGTCATGAATACTTTAACTGTACAGAGCATAGCACATAGGTGAGAAGATATCAAGTATTTAGGTTCTACTTTGTGTGTTTTTTTTTAATTGGACCCAAAGATCTACCCGCCAGAGCCTGGAGAAAAAAAAATCACCTAGCATTAAAGAATTCTGAGTACAAAGATTTGTTTTTGAGCAGCAGAATGACAGGTGACCCATGACCAATGCCAAGCCCTCTAAAACAATTCTGAGGGCAGTTTCCTAGGGCTTATTTTCAGGGAAACAGGGCAAATAGCAAGAAGAGTAAAACAACAGCAACAGGAGGAACCAAAAGAAAGGGGTGAAGGAGGGGGGTGGTCTTTGTTCATTAGAAAAGGCAGGCGCAAACATACCGTAGCATGTAAAAAAGAATACACAAACCTTTTCCTTCTGCAACGCTGACTTTGAAGGCCAGTTTCTGGCCAGCCGCCTCGCAGGTGTATTCGCCCGCATCTTTTTTCTCCACCTGTTGAACCACCAGACGCCGGGATTTGCCTTCGGCTTCGACCTTGAGCTTCTTGCTGGATGTGATCTGTTTCCCTTCCTTGAACCACTTCACTTCCGTCTTGTCTTGGGCCACCTCGCAGCTGAGGACGGCGCTCTCCGAAGGGACCACCTTGACCTCTTTCTGGATTTTCTCCTGGTGGGCAAAGACTTCCTCCACTTCAGCAACTGGAGAAGGAGAGAAGAAGCAGAGTTGCATACATTTAACTCCCCTGTTAAGGCAGTTCTGGCTTACCATTCATCCACGGTCGATGATGACTCAGGACGTAGAGTCGTCCACCAAACCCCCTCAGAGTGCTAGTTCTCTCCTTTCAACCTTCTAAAAATCAACTCTCCCAATTCATATTGCAACACAGCACACACAGAAAATTGGAAGGGGGGCCACCGCCGGGGCTTTAAGAAGACAGCCGCCTGACCATCCTCTGTGTCCAGACTCCTCTTGTTGACTGTGTCCCGTCATGAATACTTTAACTGTACAGAGCATAGCACATAGGTGAGAAGATATCAAGTATTTAGGTTCTACTTTGTGTGTTTTTTTTTAATTGGACCCAAAGATCTACCCGCCAGAGCCTGGAGAAAAAAAAATCACCTAGCATTAAAGAATTCTGAGTACAAAGATTTGTTTTTGAGCAGCAGAATGACAGGTGACCCATGACCAATGCCAAGCCCTCTAAAACAATTCTGAGGGCAGTTTCCTAGGGCTTATTTTCAGGGAAACAGGGCAAATAGCAAGAAGAGTAAAACAACAGCAACAGGAGGAACCAAAAGAAAGGGGTGAAGGAGGGGGGTGGTCTTTGTTCATTAGAAAAGGCAGGCGCAAACATACCGTAGCATGTAAAAAAGAATACACAAACCTTTTCCTTCTGCAACGCTGACTTTGAAGGCCAGTTTCTGGCCAGCCGCCTCGCAGGTGTATTCGCCCGCATCTTTTTTCTCCACCTGTTGAACCACCAGACGCCGGGATTTGCCTTCGGCTTCGACCTTGAGCTTCTTGCTGGATGTGATCTGTTTCCCTTCCTTGAACCACTTCACTTCCGTCTTGTCTTGGGCCACCTCGCAGCTGAGGACGGCGCTCTCCGAAGGGACCACCTTGACCTCTTTCTGGATTTTCTCCTGGTGGGCAAAGACTTCCTCCACTTCAGCAACTGGAGAAGGAGAGAAGAAGCAGAGTTGCATACATTTAACTCCCCTGTTAAGGCAGTTCTGGCTTACCATTCATCCACGGTCGATGATGACTCAGGACGTAGAGTCGTCCACCAAACCCCCTCAGAGTGCTAGTTCTCTCCTTTCAACCTTCTAAAAATCAACTCTCCCAATTCATATTGCAACACAGCACACACAGAAAATTGGAAGGGGGGCCACCGCCGGGGCTTTAAGAAGACAGCCGCCTGACCATCCTCTGTGTCCAGACTCCTCTTGTTGACTGTGTCCCGTCATGAATACTTTAACTGTACAGAGCATAGCACATAGGTGAGAAGATATCAAGTATTTAGGTTCTACTTTGTGTGTTTTTTTTTAATTGGACCCAAAGATCTACCCGCCAGAGCCTGGAGAAAAAAAAATCACCTAGCATTAAAGAATTCTGAGTACAAAGATTTGTTTTTGAGCAGCAGAATGACAGGTGACCCATGACCAATGCCAAGCCCTCTAAAACAATTCTGAGGGCAGTTTCCTAGGGCTTATTTTCAGGGAAACAGGGCAAATAGCAAGAAGAGTAAAACAACAGCAACAGGAGGAACCAAAAGAAAGGGGTGAAGGAGGGGGGTGGTCTTTGTTCATTAGAAAAGGCAGGCGCAAACATACCGTAGCATGTAAAAAAGAATACACAAACCTTTTCCTTCTGCAACGCTGACTTTGAAGGCCAGTTTCTGGCCAGCCGCCTCGCAGGTGTATTCGCCCGCATCTTTTTTCTCCACCTGTTGAACCACCAGACGCCGGGATTTGCCTTCGGCTTCGACCTTGAGCTTCTTGCTGGATGTGATCTGTTTCCCTTCCTTGAACCACTTCACTTCCGTCTTGTCTTGGGCCACCTCGCAGCTGAGGACGGCGCTCTCCGAAGGGACCACCTTGACCTCTTTCTGGATTTTCTCCTGGTGGGCAAAGACTTCCTCCACTTCAGCAACTGGAGAAGGAGAGAAGAAGCAGAGTTGCATACATTTAACTCCCCTGTTAAGGCAGTTCTGGCTTACCATTCATCCACGGTCGATGATGACTCAGGACGTAGAGTCGTCCACCAAACCCCCTCAGAGTGCTAGTTCTCTCCTTTCAACCTTCTAAAAATCAACTCTCCCAATTCATATTGCAACACAGCACACACAGAAAATTGGAAGGGGGGCCACCGCCGGGGCTTTAAGAAGACAGCCGCCTGACCATCCTCTGTGTCCAGACTCCTCTTGTTGACTGTGTCCCGTCATGAATACTTTAACTGTACAGAGCATAGCACATAGGTGAGAAGATATCAAGTATTTAGGTTCTACTTTGTGTGTTTTTTTTTAATTGGACCCAAAGATCTACCCGCCAGAGCCTGGAGAAAAAAAAATCACCTAGCATTAAAGAATTCTGAGTACAAAGATTTGTTTTTGAGCAGCAGAATGACAGGTGACCCATGACCAATGCCAAGCCCTCTAAAACAATTCTGAGGGCAGTTTCCTAGGGCTTATTTTCACTTGAAGGTCAGCTTCTGCCCAGCAGCCTCACAGGTGTACTCTCCAGCATCCTTCTTGTCCACCTGCTCCAGCAGCAGCTTTCGGGAGGTGCCCTTGGATTCCATCTTGATTTTGTGGCTGGAAGCAAGAAGCTTTCCCTCTTTGTACCATTTCACTTCCGTATCACTGGAGGCTACCTCGCACACCAGAGCAGCGCTCTCCTTCAAGACGGCCTTGACCTCCTTCTGCACCTTCTCTTTATTAGCAAATGCACTTACAGGCTCTGTAATGGAGGAAAGAAACCAGACGCCCTGTTGGTTAGGCGTCTGATCCCCCACAAACCATGTTTCTGAGCAGGAGGTATAGGCTAGGTTCTGTGTTGTCGAGCTCCATCTGACTCGTAACGGCCCTAACAAGGTTTCCAACACTTGTGAGATATTTAAATCATGGTCACCACCATGTATACATTACTGAAACAGCGACGTCTATGTTGGCTCGGGCATGTCGTAAGAAATGGCTGATGGTCGGATTCCGAAAGATCTCCTGTATGGAGAATTAGTGCAGGGAAAGCGCCCCAGAGAGAGACCCCAGCTGCGATATAAGGAGATCTGCAAGCGGGATCTGAAGGCCTTAGGAATGGACCTCAACAGATGGGAAACCTTGACCTCTGAGCGTTCAGCCTGGAGGCTGGCATTGCGCCATGGCCTCTCCCAATTGGAAGAGACCCTTGTCCAGCAGGCCGAGGCAAAGAGGCGGTCACGAAATGAGCAAAACCAGGGAGCTGGACAGGGGACAGATTGGATTTGTCTTCAGCGGGGAAGGGATTGTCACTCTCGAATTGGCCTTCTCAGCCACACTAGACGCTGTTCCAAGACCTTCATACACAGCACGTTACCATAGTCTCTCGAGACTGAAGGATGCCTATTACTGGTCACCACCTTCCAGTGAGCTTCCATGGCTGAGCAGAGATTTGAACTCAGATGGCCTTAGAGTCCTAGTCTAATACTCTACCCACTATACCACACTGGAGGTGTACAAGAACATGGGATTTAGGGAAAGGAAGCTTTAAAAACTGGATCATTTGGTAAGAATGATGAGAAACTGGAAGGAAAAATGAAGCGACACAGAAACCGGGAACAATCTAGGGGCGTTTTTGAAACAGGAAGTTTCCCATGGTAGATTTTGGAGAGAGAGAGAGAGAGAGAGCCCTGCTATCTGGTTTCAGAAACAACAACAGAAACAAAACAAAAAAATTAACAATCCCGCTCTTCAGAAAGGTTCACAATGAAATAAATGGTGTTAGTCTTAAGAGGCTGCAATACATATTTCCATTATTGGCTTTGGAAGTGATTCATATTAGGGTTTAAAGTAATAACTATATGACTGCCTTTCAAAGTTTTATCATGCTGAATTCATTTAGACATACAATTGAACTTGGACTGATTTGAACAGCAAGCTGAGAGCAGTGAGTTATATGCTGGTGAGGGGAAAGTATCTCCAGGGGTTCCCCGCCTTGGTTCTCCAGATGTTCTTGGACTACAACTCCCAGAAGCCTTCCCCACTAGCTGGGCTGGCCAGGATATCTGGGAGTTGCAGTCCGAGAACACCTGGGGACCCCAGGTTGGGATCCACCAGTTTATTGTTCTCATCTTAACTACCCTGTGAGCCCTAGCAAACCATTGCACACCCTTGGCAATCTATGCTCCTCTTGGAAATTTGTATGTTGGGGTGACTCAGCATCAAAACGGTTTCTCTTAAATCACTCTGGGAACTGTATCATAGAATCATAGAAAAGTGAAGTGGGAAGGGGGCCCACAAGGCCATCAATTCCAACCCCCTGCTCAAGGCAGGAATCCAAGCCAAAGCATATCTGATGGGTGATGATCTAAGTTTTTCTTGAATGCATCCAGTGTTGGAGAACTCATCAACTCCCAAGGTGACTTGTTCCTCTGTCGTACTGCTCTAACAGTTAAGAAGTTTTTCCTGAAATTCAGCCTAAATCTGGCTTTCTTTAACTTGAGCCCATTGTTGCGTGTCCTGCACTCTGGGATGGTCGAGAACAGATCCTGCCCCTCCTTTGGAGGACAGCAGTTCAAATATTAGAAAAGTACTATCCTATC